GTCAGCTTTATGTATTTTAGTTTTTTTCTTTTCTTGTTTTTGGGTCGTGTCAAAGTCGCTGCGTTAATTAATAGCTGCGACGCCGACATTTTCATGAACGAAATGGATAAAAAAAACACGGCCGATTCGTTAAATACTGCAGCGTGTTAATCATAATAATAAATCCAATAACAAACCGAAACGTGCGACCTACGTGTTCCAAAATATTGTCAAAGGCCGAAAGCTGCAAGACCCAAAACCAAATACCAGATGATAGACAACAGAGACCGGGGTCTCCATAACGAAGCGATAACAATAATAATAATAATAATTGTATTGTTGTTGCTGCTGCTACATGATGATTGTGGGTCTGGCAAAGAAGGTGGAGTCGTGTTGCGGCATTTGTTAGTCGACTGCGAAAAACATGTCTCCGATTTCAAGGTGAACATTTCGAAATAATTCAACTTGAACTGCTGAAATTAACATTGACATCGCCGTTGACACGGCACGAATAGCATCACACACACACGTTGCTTTACTATGGCAATGTGCTCGTCAGCACTTATTTCTCGATTTATCTAATTTTTGCGCTGAACGCGCACAAAACCCATTTTGCTAGCGGCTAAAAAAGCGTGCGCAGCTTGGTCAGTTGCTAAAAAATAACAGAAACAGAAATAAAAACAAAATAAATATGTAAATTCTGTAGGCAAGCACTTGTACTTATGTTAAGTTGATTCAAAGCGCTGTTAGTGGGCGTGGCAGCCTGATTTTTATATTATTTTTAATGTCTTGCAATATCTGTAGATCTTGCAAATTTCAATCGAATTATGACCTGTCTTGAAAAAGCTATAGACGTTATAATTACATCTGAAAAAAAGTATCTTTAAAGTGTATTTTTCCTTTGCGTCATACCTCGACCATTAGTTTTGTACTTATACTAGTTTTTATACGCATATGACTCATATGTGCTACTTAAGCCATCACGTCAAAGGCTGACTCATTAATTTACAGTTATATATATATACGCTGACAAAAAAAACCCCTTTTACTAATACATCCGCTACACCAAGTTTCTCAACTCTCAATATATATATCTTTTTTGCACTCTCAGCTATGGTCTGTTGGGCGCCTCTGGCTGTGGCAAGACCACTCTGCTCTCCTGCATTGTGGGTCGTCGCGGCATCGACTCCGGCGAGATCTTTGTGCTAGGCGGCAAGCCTGGCACACGCGGCTCTGGAGTGCCCGGCAAGCGGGTGGGCTATATGCCGCAAGAGATTGCACTCTATGGCGAGTTCTCCATACAGGAGACCATGATGTACTTCGGCTGGATCTTTGGCATGGAGACCAAGGAAATATTGGAGCGCCTGCAGTTTTTGCTCAACTTTCTGGATCTGCCCTCGGAGAAGCGCCTGGTGAAGAATCTGAGTGGTGGCCAACAGCGACGCGTCAGCTTTGCTGTGGCACTCATGCACGATCCAGAGCTGCTGATTCTGGACGAACCAACGGTGGGTGTCGATCCACTGCTGCGCCAGAGCATCTGGAATCATTTGGTGCACATCACGAAGGCGGGCCAAAAGACGGTGATCATAACTACACATTATATCGAGGAGGCACGACAGGCGCATACAGTAAGAAGAGCTCGAAGAGTTGGTCCGAGATAGAGTTTGATGTGATTCCCATTTTTAGATTGGTCTGATGAGATCTGGCCACTTGTTGGCTGAGGAATCGCCCAGTGTACTGCTGACCATGTACAAGTGCATCAGCCTAGAGGAGGTGTTCCTGAAACTGTCTCGCATCCAGAGTCAGAAGGGTGATGTTAGCCATGTGAACTTCAGGTGAGTCTTGATACTGACATCTGCATGCTGCACGCAGTCAAACTGTAACTGATACCCTTAATGGTCACTCATCTAATCGTTGTCTCTCTTAATTTCCATTCGTCCCGACACTCGCATGCTTGCAATCTGTGTACCCATCTCTGTGTGTCTCTCTCTCCTGTCACTATCTCGCTCTGTGTGTGTGTGTGTTTGTGTTGGTATCGATGACAGTAACAACATCTCGTTGCATGCCATGGCGTTTGGCAGCAAAATGGACAAGCCCAGCTCCAGTCAAGAGGGCGGCGTTGTGGGCCTGAATTTCCACCAGAGCAAGGAGGTGCTCATTAACGATAGCAATGGCTCCATTTATACGGTTTGTTCTAGACATTAATGAATGCTTTCAAAAGAAACTTCTAACGAATCTTAACCACAACAGCTTAACCAGGAACCCTATAGTCCACCGCCTTCGAAGCGACAGAACAACCCCAATGACGAAGAGAGCTGCCAAGATTGCTTTGCAGATCTCTGTAAAATTACCTCCAAGGGCAAGATACGCGCTCTGCTGACCAAGAATATGCTTCGCATGTGGCGCAATGTGGGCGTCATGCTGTTCATCTTTGCTCTGCCCGTAATGCAGGTCATACTCTTCTGTCTGGCCATTGGACGTGATCCGCAGGGCCTTAACTTGGCCATTGTCAACAGCGAAATGAACAACACGGTGGGTGCTAAGTCACTAAGTCAATCTGACAGTTTATCAAACAACTATTCAATTATTTAATTAATCAGTTAGTCAACATTCTAGTCACAAAGGCTGATTAATCAGAATGAAATAATGCTAAGTAATGCTTCGACACACTTTAATGTCTCTCTAATGCTCTTTGCAGGATACCTGCTTCTGGGAGGAGGGCTGCCACTTTGCTAATCTGGGCTGTCGCTACTTAAATCATCTGAACACGAGCGTAGTTAAAACGTATTATACGGACATAGAGGACGCCAAGGCGGCGGTGAGACGCGGCGACGCCTGGGGTGCTCTCTACATAACTGAGAACTTTACGGATGCGTTCACAGCGCGCGCTGCATTGGGCCGCGACTCAGACGACGAGACCATAGAGCAGTCCGAGGTGAAGGTGTGGCTGGATATGTCCAATCAGCAAATCGGCATCATGCTCAATCGCGACATACAGCTGGCTTATCGTGACTTTGCCATGGGCCTGCTCGGCCAGTGCGGAAACAATCCGAAGCTGGGCGATGTGCCCATACAGTTCAGGGATCCCATCTATGGCACAATGAATCCATCCTTTACCGACTTCGTGGCACCTGGCGTCATATTGACGTGAGTGCCAATTAGCATGCTCGCTTAATCAGTTACCGATATTAATTATATGCCATGCCATTATATTTATAGCATTGTTTTCTTCTTGGCTGTGGCTCTGACGTCATCAGCTCTGATCATCGAACGCACTGAGGTGGGCTAAGCAAACGACAGCGAAATGCCAACCTGATTTGCATTACTAATCCATTCCTTTTCTTAGGGCCTGTTGGATCGCTCTTGGGTTGCCGGCGTCTCACCCGCCGAGATTCTCTTTTCGCATGTGATTACCCAGTTTGTTGTCATGTGCGGCCAGACTGCTCTGGTGCTCATCTTCATGCTGGTCGTCTTCGGCGTGACCAACAATGGTGAACTGTTCTGGGTGATTGTGCTTACCCTGTTGCAGGGCATGTGCGGCATGTGCTTTGGTTTCCTCATCTCTTCCATCTGTGAGCTGGAACGTAATGCCATACAGTTGGCGCTGGGTTCCTTCTATCCCACGCTGCTGCTTTCCGGTGTCATTTGGCCCATTGAGGGCATGCCTGTGGTGCTAAGGTATGATAAATCTGCAACAATCAATCTGCAATCAACCTTTAACTCTGCTCTGCTTTCCTAACTCTCGTAGATACATCTCTCTATGCCTGCCGCTGACGATGGCCACTTCCTCGCTGCGCTCCATTTTGACTCGCGGTTGGGCGATATTCGAGGCGGACGTGTACGTTGGCTATCTGAGCACGTTGTCCTGGATTTTGGGATTCCTGGTGCTGACGCTACTGGTGCTGCGCTCCAAGCGCAACTAGAGTGGGGCTTAAGTTTTAGAGAACTAATTTTTAATATGTCAAACTGATTTAGTTTGCGTTTAGCCTAGGCCGCTTGTAGTAGTCATCCCTCTCCCAATTACCTTCTACCAATCCAAGTTACAGCTGTAGCTGTTAGGAATCCTAAGGTCCTACCTAGTTTGCCTTTAGCTGTTTGCTCTTTACTATCTCTATTACTCTTTCAATTGCCTAAATGTCATAAATTATTTAAGCACACATGCAACTCTTCTTCTTCTTTTCTTCTTCTGTTTTGCAAACTTCCCTTAATTTAAGTTGTGCACATTTTACATAATTTAATTCGTAAGGTTTAGAGGTACATAAATAAATTGTTGTAAATATTTAAAGCTTGCAACGCTATCACAAGGCAAATCATCGTAGCTAGTGACGCCATGGAGCGTCGAATATTTTTCGCAAACCCCTTTCAGCAACATTAAAAAAAGACAAAACACAAAAAAAAAACAAAATCGGGCAAAAAGCACACAAAACAATTAATTTTATATATTTTCAATGGACTGTGATTGTACTTTTTTTTTTGTTTTATTATTTGCACGCATATTCATGTCGGGTGCAAACCCAAAGAAAAGACAGAAACAGAAAACAAACAAAAAAGAAAGAAAAAAACGAAAAAAATATAAATAAAATACACATATTGGTGGGGATTGTTTGTAACATTAAGTAGCTTAAAGCATTTTTGTATGGGTTTAAGTTTTGTAAGTTAAAACGTAATTATATACATAAATGTTAACTACACTACTTACATAATATAATTAAATATATATAAATACAATTCTGTGGAAATTTTATGCAAACGACATAAATATTTCTCAACGAACAAAACAAGAAACAAAACGAGCAAAGCAAAAAATTCTTATTTAAGCAATAATAACTTGTGAACGCAACTATGTATAAATACAAATAAAAATTAATAAAACCCAATTGATCAATTTTCTTATGTGCAAACCTAAATATGTGGTAGAGTAAGTATGAAATTTGAAATTTGAATTGGCGCTTTGCATAGTTACACAACACTCACACTATTTTGACGAGTTGGCAGCGCCGCATTTTAGTGCTGCCCAGCGCGCCAATCGAGCATATGTTCGCTGTGCTCTCAGCGGCAAGAGGAAGCATCAAAACAAAGAAAATTTTAAAAAGAATTGTCTACTTAACGCAAGCAAATAAACAAAATGTGATGCATGCATAACAAAGTAGATCATATTTGACGCCACAAAATGGACAAGTCGAGCGCTTACGAGAAATTCATTAGCCATGTGGACCAGCTGCGTAACACGGAATGCAGGTGAGCATTTGTTTGTGTTTGTGTTGCTCGCCCTGACTTTTTCAATGCGCTGGGGCTGCAACAGACCGGCAACAGTTTGTTATTGCGCAAAAGCCCAAAGCTGGGTGATAATTGTAATACTATTATGCATTTGGTGCATTTCACGGCGTTATTGATCAAACACATGAAACACCTAGAGTCCAAATTGCTCTAATACCCTAACAACGAGCAATTGGGCTCATTACACATCCGCTATGACGTCATCAAATAGCTATACACCTAGGTGACTACAGTGAGCACTGCAAATATTGTTCGACAATCGGTTGCACTTGATATCAGTGCAAGAACTTAAGCTAAATACACTTTATATCTAACTGACATACAGAAGCAATTAATCTGCTGTCTATTTTTGTGATTAATTAGTATTTTTCATCAATTTCATTCAGAATTTCAAAGATATGAAAAATTACGGTCGAAAGTTGAGTAATTTAATAAACAACTTTTTACCGTTTTTATTAATATTAATATTAATAAATTATTATTAATATTAATAAATTTCGCAACTATCAGCTTAAAAACCATATCTAAATTTAGAAAAAAAAATCACTTTCAAAAAAATGAAAATCAAACTGCATTAAGGGCAAATATTTGCTGATATATTCGCTATCTTCTCTAGCATCAAAAGTCAATTTAGGGCTTAGGCTTAAAGTAGACACCTGTCTCGAAAAAGTCACTTCCTTATCCCACTTGGTTATGACATGCATGCAAACTTATTATCCGCATGATTAACTTCACAATATTCTCTCTTTGCAGCCAAAAGCAAAAGATTGCCTGCTTTCAGCAAATTGCCGAATGCATTATGTCAAAGGCTTTGGCCGGCCACATCAATTATGCCGCACACTGTGGCACGGCCACCAATGTGTTGTTGCTATTTTGCGAGGATTTCGACTCGGTGGTGCGCATGAGCGCCGAAGAGAATCTAAACAAAATCTTTCGTGCTCTGGAAAAGACGCGAGTCAGTCGCATACTGATGGACTTATATGGTGAGATCAAGCGGAACGGTAATCAGCGGTAAGTGGCACACAGACACACTAGAACTTCAATGGTTAATCGAATCTTTAAACCTTTTTCAGATCGCTTCGCATTTGCCTAAATTTGTTTTCGTACTACTCGCCGCAAATCAAGGAGAAACACATCAAATGGTACGCTGTGAGGCTGCTGCAATGCATCTCCATCATGTCACAGCGCAAGGAGACGCTGCTACAGGAGACGCTTTCTGATTTCGTCAAACATTTTGGACGCTACGTACAGCAGGGTCTCAATGATAGTGAAACGTGCAAACTGTTAGAGGTAAAGCAGCTTCAAAATCTCAAGCTTATGCATTCATATAGAACTATAGTATCGATAAGTCCAACCTTTTGTAGAAGCTAATTTAAGTTGCTTTGATTTGATATTCTTATGGTGATATTTGATATTCTTACATGATATTCTTCATAAATCAGTTTGACATTAGCTTATACCAATTAGGGTTCGATTTATGTCGAACTGAATGCCAAACTCTAAGTCAATAGATGTTAACAATTGAAAAGCATCTACGTATTCTAGGCTTCCGGAGGCCTGTCCAATTGATTTAAACGTGACTCGCTGTATGTTGATTTGTTGGTTCGCATCTCATTCTCTCAATTTCTTTGATTGCAGACATTCCTTGGCAACATCAGCTCGGATTGCGCAGTGAAGCGTCGTTGCTCGGCACAAAATTGCATCAGCTTGATTGAGCATGCGCGCAATAGAAGTCTCATGGCCAGGCATGGGCTAAGCAAAGTGATTGGTAAGCCAACAAATGCCGGATATGAAATGTGCACGTGCACATCAATACATATATATATATATATATATATATATATATATATATATATATATATATATATATACCACATCTATATCTAAATCATTACAATACTAAACTACCAAGTGCATCAATTGTTAATGCTGCTGTCGACCGTGGCATTTATTTGTTTGAATTGCTTTTTGTTTTCATTTCATGTTTGTTTTCTAAGCTTATCCGTGTTATTTTGGTATGTGTTGTTGTGTTCTTGTTATTGTTTACCATTTGACGCATTTACCAAATGCTAGCAGAAAAAATTGCATTAGTTTCATCAATAATGAAAACTGTGTTTAAAAAGCGTGTAAGGGCTTTAACGCACCAAATGCCAAGTGCCATATAAAAAATAATAAAAGCCAGCATCAAAAGCCATGCATTCATATAGGTGTATATATGTGGAATATGTGAGTTTGTGTGAAATATTTTTTAATATTCTAAAAAGCCACAAATCCATTGAAAATACCATTGCAAAATATACAACCCAGAGCATTGTGGACTCTGTTTCTTTTTGGATTTTGTGGGGCTGGGCAGGGCTTGGCTTTAGGTGTGGGTGTTGCCGTTGAGGACTCTACAAACTAACTGTAAATGCAATCACAGTCAGTCATAGAATTTTCCATGGCGTTTATTTGCCTGTCTGCTGTGCGAGTGTGTGTGTCTGTGCGAATGTGTGTGTGTGGGAGCCACGAGTAAAACTAAAATGCCAGTTGATATAAATTATATTTCTATACTGCCGTTGCTTACCTTTTGTATGCGCTGTTCAGCCAAGTATCCACAACCCCGCCCAGCTATATGTAATGCATATATATTGATATTTTTACGAATTTGTTGCGATTTTAGACAACGGAAACGAGTTAGTTTTTATTTATACATTTGCTGGCTGGCAACTGCAGCAATAACTGCACTAGCAACAAAAATCAGACGAAATGCATTGTAAAAGTCTTCAAAAAAGAAAGAAGCAAAAATCAGTTTGGCATTTTTGCAACACAAATCATTTTTTATTGAATTTTCATGAACACTTTATTGGCAAAAGGTAAATGGACAACACATTTTAGATATATGGACGATATATGCAGTAATTTGAGGCGCATGCATTTTTGCGCTGATTTCGAAAAAGTTTTAAAACTAGATTCAATTAGACACGCAATTTGTTTATAGTTAACATTTATTTATGCATTTCTGTGACCCGAAGAAAACATAAATATGAAATTTGTGTGTTTGCGGTCGGAAGGCAGGAGTTATGCGTCTAAGGCGAACTGCACTTGCAATGCCATTGCTTTGGCTGCGCCCACATTGCGCTTTTCAGCTTTTTAGTTGTTTACCTTCAAATCAACTCCTTCAAATCCTGGCCTCTGTGGCTATAGCTGCAGCTCTGGCTATGTCAACTTCAAGCCACTGCTCGGCAAGTGCATACCACAATAGCTGGCGACAACAACAACAGCAACAATGAGAACATCAACAACAACTACTCAGTGCACAGTCTGCCGCCTCTTTTTATGGCAGCCATCAGTGTAGCACTTGCAACACTCTGACGTCCGCCGCCTCTGCCTCTACACTCTGCAGGCCACAGTCTTGTGTCTTGAGCCTTGGCATGCCCCAACAAACATTCAGTAAGAGTAAGGTCCTTAACGCTATAGCTGCTGCTCTTTCTGCTGCTCCTACTGCTGCTTCTCTGGCTGCTGTTTGTCTGTCTGTTTGTTTGAGGCTGTAAGGCAGGCAAAATGAAATTTATGCACTTGGACACTTCCCTGTAATAATTCATGCGAAATTGAATCAGATATTCATTCCTGTGCAGCTTTAAAAGGATAATCAACTTTATAAACAGCCAGCAAACAACGGCAGCTTCAAATTTATGCAGACAGCAGTTGTCACGCTGGCTCGTTGCAAAACAAAAATGACCGAATAACTCCCAGTGTATAAGTTGACCAAGTTAACAAGTTACCCAATTACCAACAATTGCTTTTCTGAATACTCATAATTTCAATTGAAGTTAAAGTACCTCAACAGTTGTTTCCTTATTTCTATTGAGATACATTGGCTCAGTAGCATACTTGAGCTCCTTTTTATGTACTTCTTGAAAGGGTATCCTTTAACTGGACATCCCTACACGAAAAAATATATTAAACCAAGTTTTGGTTTTTTACATATATAATATTACACCTACATAGATTTGCTGGAGTATCCAATAGCCTCTTCTTCTTCATCGCCATTTAATACAACTTCTACACAAATACTTTCAGACAAAGAAAATCATATTTAACACTTTATGGCCCTCATTTATGATCATCTCTGTGGCGCTTTATATAATTCATGAAATCCATTGTCGAAATTGTCGCAATGTTGGAAATGTGGCAGCTCTTACATGAGTGGCACGTAGCCAGGCAGGTACGCAGGCAGCTTCTGCAGAAGTGCCACTCAATCAAGTCAAGAATATTTCAAAAGTCAATTGATAAAAATGTGACACGAAGAACTTTTCTCAGCTAGGCGGTGCCATGCATTGCGCATTACATATTAATTTAAAAGATTAAACACCACGAGGCTTATCAGCCATTAATTGAGTGCATTAAACGTGCCCCAAGCAGCCGCGTTCTTGGTATTGCCCAAAGTTTTTTGCGGCTTATGGGCGCAATTAATTGATACACATGGAGCATAGGCAACAAGTTCCTGCTGCGAGCCGAAAGTCAATTGGAGAGGGTCATATAAAAGTTGCTCCGGCATGGCGAAAAGTGTTTTTCAATTTTGCGGCAAGCCCAAAGGAAAACGGCAAACTAATTGAGTAACAAAGTTGCAACATGGCATTTTGTGATTGGTGGCGTATACGTAATAAAGAGAGAGAGAGAAATATTCGAAGCAAACAAACATTCAGCGCAGCCTATTTGCGCGTATGTGTGCGTGTTATATATATATATATGTGTGTTTGTGAGTCTGCACAAAGTCTATAAATACAAGATGAAAACTTTTCAATGAGATAAATTTAATTGGTGGCAATTTGTTGCGAACCATGCGAGGTGAAGAGAGCGAAAAAGTTGCCAAAGAAATATGAACTGCAATTGGCCAAAGCTATCTGCGAGTTTATGTGAGTGGGTGTGTGGACGTGTGTGTGTGTGCTGCAAAGTTTGAGCTTGCGTTTTTAATTTGTGGCAACATCAGCCATAAGTTGTGTGCCCCAACAAAAGACATTAACTGAAAGTTGTCTATAGCTACCAATAGAGAAGAGTATCCTGATCAAATGTACTAACCAACTGTCTTTGTCTGCTCTTCTTTGCCAGAAATGCTGCTAATGGATCAACAGACGAGCTGCGTGCTGGGCGCTTTGGGTTTGTTGCGTCTGCTGCTGCCGCAGCTGATACGTGGCTACTCTGCTGATTGCCAGGACGACGGTGACTCCTTGGCGGATGCCGGGCAACAACAGCACGCTGCCGCGTCCGATTGCCGGCAAATTATTGAAATTTATGATTATTGTTTGCACCTGCTGAGCACGCAGCACACAACGAATCACGCCATCATAAATGCCGCACTCGAGGTCATCAATGGCATACTCCAGGCACTGCACGATGCTCCAGGAGCTGCTGCACAGGCGGCGGGGCCAGCCGGTGTTGGTGGACTGGCACAAAGTTTACGCCAACTGCTGTGCAATCAACAACTGGAGCACAATGAGTATTTGCGGCGAAGGAAATCATTAAAAAATCAAATATTCCAATTGAGAAATTACGAAGTGGGCACAAGTCGATGGGAGGAGGTGCCCGGAGGGGCAACGCAAATGCAAATGCAAATGGCAAAGAATTCAAATGCCAAACTACAGCAGCAAAAGTGTCAACAACAACAAAAACAACAACAGCAACTGCAGATTGGCATCAACTTGCTGCAAGTCGTGGGAATTAATGCCATGGCTGATGATGCTGACACCGAGAAAGATGCTGCTGCAAGTTCCGCTGCTGATGAAGGTAAAGTAAATAAAGCAGAGTCTAGATGAGCGTGTGCCAGGCTGTATTTGTGTGTGTGTGTGTGCAGCCATGTACGACTGTCACATGCTGACAGACTGACATGCGGACGGACAGACAGACAGTTAGACAAGCAAACAGATAGACCGCACCGAAATCAAGAAAATTGAGCAATGCCACTGTCACAGTCACCGCCCACATACACATACACACGACCACGCCCACACAATGCACATATGAAAATTATTGGTGCATGCTTTTAGGCGGCGGTGCATGCAAAATGAGGTCAAAGCGAAATTTGCATACGCCGCCAGCAACAAATGTAAAGCTAAACCCAATGCGCATTCACTTCTCTCTGTTCCGACAGCAAAAAAAACATCGCGACAACACATTAGAAATGCTGCACGAAGCATTAGCGAATGCGTGGCAAGCAGCGCTTCAGATGAGGACGAGCAGCCAGCTGACGATAATGATGATGCCAACGCTAACGCTAAAGCTAATGCTCCTGCTGATAATGGCGATGATGATGATGCTGATGATGATATGGAGCTGCTAAGTGCCAATGCGGACGATGAGTACGAGGGCTTCACAACGCTGTCACAACTAAATGAAACACAACCAACTGTGACAGATGCATTGAAAATGCCAAATATAACAGCTTCTGGTGCAGCAGGAGCAGCAGCAGCAGCCGATGTGAATGTTGCATCACTGCCTAAAACTCTGGCCGTGCAGCATCAGTCGTCGATGCAGAATTTGCTTGCTAGCGATGACAGATCCCAGCATTTGAGTGACATCGACAATGAATCCTTCAACAGCATCGATTTCGATGCGGAAATAACAATTGCTGGCGTCAGAGAGCAACAGACAGACGCAACAGCAACAGCAACAGCAACTACAATGACAACAGCTACAGCAACAGGAACAAACGAGCCAGCGGAGTCAACGCCAGATGCAACAACCATTGGCACATTCTTCAACAATTTGCTGTCCCATTCAAATGCAGGTGAGTCGTTCATGCCAATCCATAACTATATTGTGTTCTGATACCTCTTAAAACGGAAAATATTTTGAAGGGTATATTGAATGTTTGTAGGGAAAGTTTTGAAATTGTTTTATTAAAACAAAAATTTTATATTCGAATCAAAAATTACATCTTTCCTATTTGTGAGGTGGCAACATTTTCACGTAATATCTCACAGTGGCTTACAATAGATTGGCTTCGCCAGACAAATATTTCATTATAGTACTTCAAATTACAGCTGGCGGGTGCTTGGAAAATAGTTTTCATTTGATGTTATTGGATTTCGCGGTCTGTCGTTTTTTGTTTTCCATTTCACCACATTTATTTACAATATTTGTGTATGGCAATCAAATTATTTGCATAATTGTTGTAGAGAATGGGCACAAACAGAAAGAGAGAGAGATAGAGAGTGAGAGAGCACACAAGCGAAAGAGGTAGAGAGAGAGAGAGAGAGAGATAGACATTGAGACCCGGAGCGCCAGACAACACGTTGCCAACGAAATTTGCATGCTGCCTTTTGCCAATTGCACTTGCAATTTAATGAAGCGTAATTGTTGTTGTTCACTATGTTGCATGGTCTCTGTGGAATCAACAACAACACAAACAAAAACAACAACAGCAAGCACAACTAAATTAAATTAGGCAATGCTCGAACGAGTCAGTGGCATCGCAGGGCTTGCATAGAGCAGGAAAGTAGGCAGAGGGCTACAGTGGTAGTGCCATGGGTAGGCGAGGCAAGGCAAGGCACAAGTTGCATGCATCATTTGTCGCTTCAGTGGCTGTGCGTCGCTTTTAAGTTTTTGTTGCTTTTGAGTCTCGTCTGTTGACATGACAACAGCAGCAGCAGCAGCAGCAGAAGCAGCAGCAACAAGAACATCAACAGCAGAGTCAATAGCATTAGCAAACAATATTTGCCATTTGAAAATTGAATTCATTTTGATTGAGAAAAACGTCGACGTTGTTCAAACTTACAAACATTCGATAAATGCATTCAGTTTTTCGCTAATGTACATTTACTGGAGTGTGTGCGTATGCATACATGTGTGTGTGGGTGTGCGCGTGCGTAGGTGCGTGCCTGGAGGTAGGCAGCCTAAGATATTGCCATGAACCCAAAAAATATGTAAGATGAAAATGAAAAAAAAGAGGGAGCAACTGCAAAGAGGCATGTCCTGCCAGCTGTGTGCGTGGGTGTATGAGTTAATAAGCAGTGAAAATGCTGCTCACGCAGCCGGAAGCAGTAATTAAGTGAATGAGTTGTGTGGGCGTGCGAGAGAGCCGGCCAAACATTACGTACGACGTGCAAAAAGAGAGCGAAATATCTGTGCTAAAAAAGAGCAGAAAAAAAAATATAAAAAGAAAGCTTAAGCAACTACTTGACGTAAATGTTGGGCTTAAATTCGTCGTTTCTTCCACGAACTGACTGTCTCTCTATCTGTCTGTCGGTTAGTTCGTGTGTGGGCTGCGGATTAAGCTTGAAACATGGCAACGCATTTACCGCGAACAATCCCATGCGACGACCAGGCTCAACCTTCTGCAGCGCCCGCCATCCATACACCCTTCACCCTCCACCCTCCCCCTTCTTCCTTATTCCTCTTTTAGATGCGCGAATGCTGCTGCCACTTGGCCAAAGCATCACACTGCAAGTTGGCAACAAAGTGGTTAAGACAAATGGGTTACGTGATAAAATGCGGTTACTCAAATTGCATGTATGCAAGCTTACATCTTGTGTGTGTTTGAGTGTGTGTGTGTTTGTTTATTTGTGGGTGTTTTAGTTTATTTAGCATTGCCAACCAGCCAGCCAGCCAGAATAGTCAGCTAGGCCAGAGGATCTGACGTTCATTTAGCTGCTTTTGCAGCCAATCTTGTTGTTGTTGGTGTTACGCTTACTGCTATTGCCTTTTTGTTGTGCACTTATGCGATATCAGCCGTTTTACGCTGCTCGCTTGCCGTACCGCACACCCTCTATCAGCGCTCCTTCTGCTAGTTATTGTTGTTGACTTTTTTCTAGATATACATATAGATATATATATATATATATATATATATATATACGTATACATATGTGTATCAGCAGCCGCCAATCTTCATCCGCAGCCAAAGAGCGTCACCAAATCCTGCAATTTGTATGCTCTTACCGTAAGCTAGTTCATACGAATACATCATTTAATTTGTAATTTTAAAATTAAAAACAAATCATTTTTTATTTGAATATATATATTTGAATATATATTACATTCATTACATTTATCATTCATGTTCAAGTTTGCAATTTCAATATTGTAAAATAAAACTTTTACTTAAATTTCTTTTCCTGTTTCCATATTTTAATTTTTTTTTATTTAATTTGCATTTAATCTTTTTGTAAATATTTTATTATTCCATTTAAATTTCTTATTTCATATTATAGAGTTGTCACAAGAGCATTCACGCTTCACTGTATTTCGAGGTTCTCATCTTGTTTTCATAAACAATTTATGTATTTTTTGTTGCTGTTTTGTTGTTGTTTTTAGTTAGTTTGCATATGCTGTTGTACTACCCACGAGTCTCTTGAGTCTCTTGGCTGGTTATGTGTCACCCATAAAGTGGCAGCCCGCATTTCCCCCACATTTCTGCAAACAGTTCCACTTCTTGTTCTTGCGCGTTTTCCGTTCGTGACTGCCGCGTTTCCTACGCGGCTTTCGCTATCCTTTGGCATTTTTTCTTCTTCCTGTAGAGGTTTTCCCCCTTTATTTTTTGCTAGAGCATGTATACTCATATGAACGCCCGCTAGTTTTATTTGCCATTTCGCTGTTGTTGTTCTTGTTTTTAACGTGATTTTAAATAACAAAACTGCGCAAAAAGTTGCTAGGGCTGCTGCTGTTTTATAACGGTTTCAATTTGTGGCACTCAACTTTGTGAAGGGGGATGCAGCGCTGGCGCAACTTACGGCTTAAGTAAAACTATTAAAGCATAAAATGCACCAAGCAATCCAGCAAAATTACATATACATGCATTCATCTACTTGGGGGCAACTCATAAAACTCATGGCAACTCAACATGCAGAGTGCTGCAAGTGCCTTGGCTTTGGTTAGTTTTATGAGTCCACTAATTGAACGTAAAAATTGAAATGATTTTTCTGATTTAGCTTTCATTTCACTGCGCACGAATCTAAGCTTCAATTTTCAGCTGTCTAAATAAAATTCCTTTTTGCATTAGCATTTGATGCATCAACATCAACTTTAGTTTATCGCTTGTTTTTCTGGAGACCGAATCAAGGCTTAAATGATTTTAATATGAGTAGCCTTTTTACTGCTAATCACTTCTAGACCGCTCCAGTAGCACTATATTTATATCCCTTTGTTACATTTTAAAATCATCGCTCATTTTCTCTTTTATAATAAACTACATATTAGCTCAACGGATGTCTGCTCTTGTGTTTTTCTATTTGTATGTGTTGTTCTAATTTTTACAGCGCTTGCATGCGGTTGTAGCATCCATTAGAAAAGACAACAACAACAATAAAAATAGCTACAGAAATTCCAGCAAAGCAGATACAGCAGCTAAATAAAAACAATTTTTTAAGCCAACTTAAGTGCGGTTGCGGTCAATGGTGGCAGCTCTTGGTCCATCTCTCTCTTTTTCTCTTTCTACTTCTTAATATCTACTCTCTCTCTTTTCTTTCACTTAACTTATATATACTATAAAATTTGAGTTCTCAATTAATTTCCAATAGCTGCAGCTAGGGGTAAGAATGTTAACTGCATAAAAAGGGAGAGTGCATGAACGACTAGTAGATGTCCTGTGAAATGTAAATTCTTTACAGATTAAGTGTTTCTATACTGATTCGATGTTCAGATACGCTAATACACAAGCAATAGTTGTATCTTGTTGAATTAGATACAAGTCAGATCGGAACGATATAGTTGGGCACTTATTAGCTGCGACAGAAAAGGGTATTAGCAGCAACTGATGTGAATAGTTTGGTAGCTTTCAGACTGACCAAGTTAGGAGGTTGGCTGGTTGGAGGTTTCCGTTTTTATTGCCGTCTCGTGTTTAGAAAGTTTGCAAACATTTTCCGTTGTGTTGCATTCTTAAAAGCCCCAATAGCCAAGACGGCCGCGACAGACAAATGTGCCTGGTAATTGGCTACAAGTTCTGAGCGCGAGGGAGTGAAGCTGAAGTTGAAGCCGATGCTGAAGCCGATGCTGATGCTGATGCTGATGTAGCTGAGGCTGGGGTTGAGGTAAGCTGGCAGTGTGGCAAACCACAATTAGCCTGAGCCAACGTCGGGCCTGGCATTAGTGTCAGGGCAAGTTATCTGGCAGAAGTTTGGACTGCTCAACTGAGTTGGTTTTTTGTCTTGCAGCTTCAGAGTCGGTCAGTAAGCTCTTTCGTCAATCAAGCGGCTCCAAATCCACGCCATCCAAGTTGGCGCCAACCACTGATAAATCGGATGCTGCATCGACGGCTTCGCTAACGCTCTCGTTGAGCTCGTTAGCCAGCAGCAGTGCGGCTGGGCCGCAGGAGCGTCAGCCTTCAATAACAGAGACGCCCACGCCAGTCGAAGAGACTACAGGTTCGGGCAGTGGCTCGTACACGGCATCTACGGCGCTGCTGATGGATGCACCAGCTTCTGCAGTAGCAGCAGCGACAGCTTTGGACGACTCTGCAGTGGAACCGCAGCTACGTCGGACGCCCAACGGTAAGCCAACTGCTGTCCATGTGCAGCAGACTAATTAGATTCTTTATCCTGACAGCTAATCCCTTTCTGGAGGAGAGCTCACCGCTGAAGCAAACGATATCGGGTCATGCGCTAATCAGCGTGAAAATTGGCAGCATTCTGGAGCAATCCCTGGTTTACTACACAGCTCGTCTGCTCGCTGCACGTTTCCTGCTCAGCGGCCAGGCATCAGGTCTGCAGCCGGACACTGTAAGTCGTGTGTCCATCAAGAGTCTATCGTTGGCAGTGATTGCGCAATGTGTGCGACTGGCGCCACGCGTGTTGCAGTTGCCGCTAGAGATCAGCGAGCAGGAGCTGCAGTTGCTTGTCCAAATTAGTGCAAATAGCACCCAAGCTTCCACTCCGCAGAGCAGCAACGACTCGCAGCGGAGCGCGGAGCTGTGTCAATCAATGACAGGATCGCTGCTTGAGTCAGTTGTCGATAATGAGGATAATCAGCTACTGCTGGACATTAAGGATGATCATTTTGGACCCAGCACCTGCCCTGCTTATCTGCAGCAATCGCCTACCTTGAGTCGTAGTGCTGATGCTACGCTGCTGCAATCTCAATTGGAGAAGAGGCGTCAGTCGAATCTACAGCAGCCCAATGCGTCCGAAAGTCATCTCTCCAGATCAGAGATCATCGGCCATTCGTATCGCATCACAGTGGCTGCAGAAGATGCTCCGCCATTGGCTCTGCCACCGGTGCCGCCTAAGCGAACTAAGTCGATGCGCAGCCGCGCGAGCTATACGCCTCCACGTACGAGCCCGCCTACAGCAAGCGCTGGTGGTCAAGCGTTGGCGGATGTGCTGCTCTTCCACGGACACTGCGATCCCATGCTGCGTGGCGGTGTACAGCAAATAGTGGGTAGCTTTGTGCAGGCGAGCGGAGCCGGTCGCTGCTTGCAGCTGCAGCCTGGAATCGGCCTGCCGCATTTGTTGGCCATTTTGCTGAAGGTATGCTAGGATTACAGCATGTTGACAACAATAGTGTTGCATAGCCGCAAGCGCGTTCTTTGATACCTTACTGATTGTGTGTGTGGTTGGGTGTGGCTGGTTGCGAGTGGCTTATCTACCGTGACTTAATGTGGCAAACGATGCTCCACATGCAGTTATCTATTCATATATGCTTGTATCTCTGCCCATGCAACTTACACCTGCCCCTGCGTCGTGGCAAGCTTATGCATAACGCATTCGCCGCGTTGTTTGTCCTTACGTTGGGTTCTCTCCCATGCTTTCACTCTCTGTCTCTCGCTCTCCTCCACATTCTATAAATATGCACCTCCACCTTTTCGCTGCACGCTGCGTCCTTTTTTCTCTGTTAAACCAACAAGCTAACATATTTTAACACATGCAGGCGAACACACACACCCCCACACACCCCACACACCCCCACACACATACATACATAAAAAGACACAGACACGTGTCCATATCAATGGCTGTTGGTGTATGCTTTTGAATATTTTGCAGTACTCGGCGCTGCAGTTGCTGCTGCAGTTGCAGCTAAGCCGGCGGCATTTTGTGCCGGGCTGTTTTTCATTTGAAAATAAGAAAGAAAATTCTTATCGCTTTAGCAATGTGCAAGTGCAAATGCCCCTAAGGCTAACAGCGCATCCGTTGCCAAACCCCAACACCAACACCAACACACACTCACACATTCACACACGCGCAAGCAAATGGAGAATGTGCGCATAACTTCCACATTGATTTCTCTCCCGAGAATTGTTAGGTGCACATACATGAATAGCATGTGGCCAGGCAGTTGGATTGACTTGGGCTATTCTAAGGGGGAGTTTGTTCTTCTTATTGAATTCAATAATTTAGTGGCCGGTCGAAAATTTAAATTGCAGTCGGCGCGCCCAAAAGCGCAATTTGATTATGCAATGTTGTTATGCAACGAGTTGCAAAGCGGCGCGAACGTGCCAGCTGGAAATCACATTAGATGCTTCTGCCCTAAATTCTAATGCCAGCAAATCCGTCTCAATGGCACTTGCCAAACACACAGACACACACACGCACATATCTCTATATGTATATAAATATATATGGTATGCAGAGTGAGATCTTCCCTAGAGCAGGGCAACTGAGATAACAATAGCCCTTTGGCTAGGAAGAGCTTGTTAAGATTCGTTAAAAATGCACACACTCAGTAGACCCACACACAATCACAAACACACACACCAGCTTGTGCAAAACTTTTTGCTTGTGCAAACAATAAAACACAAATTCGCTTAGCAGCGCAAACTGAGAGCCAGAGCCCAAACGTCTGGACGCAGCTCGGTCTGTTCTTGAGGCCATCTATGAAGAAATTTTGACAAAAAAAAGATGAAAAAACGAAGAAAATAAACTGAAAACTTTTTTCTGCTTTTGCACATTTGCAGGGCTTTGAGGACGAGATACACACAGTGGTCATACAAGCGTTGAATGCATTCGATAAGATATTTCCGCATGTGGTGTCCAAATATTTGACAGGGCCGCCATGTCATTATCATGCTCATCAGAAGCGACAGCAGTTGCAGCAGCCAAGTGGACAACAAAAGGGTCCCGGCCAGGCCCAAACATTTGGCCAACAAACTTTTCCAAAGAATCTGGATAATGCCTTAAGCAGTCAGCAGCAGCAACAGCAGCAGGAGCAGGAGCAGCAACAATGGCACTCTAACGATGACAACTCGAGGGCAGATGAGACCAGGATGTGTGCCAGGTCGTCAGCCACTGATAATGATGAGCTGCTAGCTGCTCTTTTGAATGATTTTCAATTGCAATCGAAACGCTTGCAGCAGCAGCAACAGTCCACGAACAACATTAGCCAATATAATGAGCCTGGCCCCTGCTGTGTGTTTGCCATTTCACCAAAATTGCTCTTGAACAAACTTCGATTGTGTCGTCACAATAAATACTGGTTGGTCCAGAATAAATATGCCGAAGTTATTTCCAATTTAAATTACGTACTGCTACGCTCCTACTACGCAAATTTCGATTGTGCCTTTGACAACAACAACAACAGTAGCAGCGACAACGATATGGAATTGGAGTCGAAAAATCAGAGTGCAGCTACGACCGATGCCTGTAACTGGAAAATGGCTGCCTGCAACAAGGACATTGTCTGCACTTATGAGGTAAGCAGCTAAATCGCCTTATTACAACAACAGAAACAAAAAGACGCTGCTTCAAGCATATCTCTCTGGTCTGGCCAGCAGCTGTTTGGCTTGTTTATTGTGAAGATTATTATTTTTTTTTTTTTTGGTTCCGCACTCCTGGCAAATGCCTTCAAAAGCAATTGAAGTGAGCCCAAACGGCTCCAGTTCCCTTCGCCCTTTGCATTTCCCCAGCCAGGCGTGGGCAACATCCTCTTATTGAACTTTTGTGCATTGAAGTGTGGCTCTTTGTGCATCTCTGCAGACTGCCCCCAATACGATCCGATCCGACTGACAGTTTGTTTTGCTTTTAGAGTATCTCGCAGCGTATTTATATACATATAACATACATGCATGCGCACAGACAAATATATATATATATATATGTATATATATAGACATGTATACAAATACATATACTCCGTATTTGTTGATTTATTATTTTGAGAAAGCCAAGCAATTTGCTAAATGGTAAAAGGGACGTACTACGTACGTGTATACAGACTGAAGACTTAGCAAACAATTGTGCGCCGTACGGCGGTGCGTGGGGCGGCACATATGTGTGTATGTTGCCACATGCAGCGATAAAAGAGGAAATGACACTTCGCTGGGGGAATGAAAAGCCTTTGATTGAAAATTGCAGCGTCAAGCGCAATGCTTCACAAGAAATTAATATAAATTAAATTGAAACTTAATAACTTACAATGTCGAATATATAGAATGTTTAATTTAACGGACCTTGCTGATTACAATCTCATAAAATTGAAATTACATGTAAGCAGAGTTAATTTAGAATTGATAAGCAATTTTATGTCTTGATTGACGAATTAGCCCATTTTTCTGTGTTTCATAAATATATCAATCTTATATAAAATTATGTTCTCAGCCCTAAGTCATATGTATAAGGATTTCATCTTCAACATGGAAAACATAAATTTGCATAAATATTGCTGAATTCTTATGTTGCACATAAGACAGATTAGCGTAGGGCCAAGTTTTTGTGAACATATTCGACTATATTTTCAATCAATAGATCCACTGGTAGTGGCCATATGAAAAGTTGAAAGTTGAAAGTTGAAAGAGTTGTTGCTTGGATGCAACCCCAAAATTGCACAGCAGCAGGTGGGAAGCGTGGGTGTTGTTGTAGCGGGAAACGGCATTATGAAAACTTGGCTCGGGTTTTTGATTTACAAGCTGCAGTCAACTAACTTGGAAACGCTTTTCGATCCCTGCAGGCTCAATTCCTGGACGAACTTATGCAGTTGCTGGGCGACGATGATGCGCGTGTAAGGGAGCAGGCAGCCCACAGTCTGTGCCGCTTTATAATGCAAACAGCGCGCCAACAGGAGCTAACAACAACAACAACAACGATGCGAATTGAGGAAGGAAACATGAATGCTGAAACTCAACAAACTAATTTCAATTTGCTTTGGGATTTTTTCGACTATCGCATATTTGGCAGCATGTCCGTGACGTTGCGTAATTTATTCCGGGCTAGCTCAACGATTGCCTCTCCAATGGCAGCCCTAGATTCCGGAGAGCACGGTCACGGGCCGTATGCTGCCACCGCAGAAGCTGTTGTTGGTGTTGGCGGTGGCGGTGGCGGCACAACGATTGGTTTGGGCAGCTCTGTTGGTGGTGCAGCCGCTGCGGCGTCGGCCTACTTTGATGGCAGTTACGGTGACGGCCATGTTTTTGCCTTTGGATTTCAACGTCAAATTGCGCAAGAGGAAAAAGTTTTGGCTAAAGTTTTGTATCGCATGACAAATAAATTGATGACGCTCAATGATAAAAATTTGCAGGTAAATATTTGTGTGCGCTATACGATTGCCAGCCAACCCGATTGAAACCCAACAACATTTCTGCTCTCAATCCATTCGACAGTTTGGCATAATTAACGCGCTGCGGCTGCTGCTAAAGCACTTCAATTTCGTGGACTATCAACAGGCCTGGACAGAATTTAATTTTATTGAAATTTGCATGAGCTACGCGTATTACAATAGTGCAACAGCTGGCGACTTGAATTGCCAGAACGATTTGATTGATGTGATGGCCAAATTAATAGCAGGTAAGTGCCACTCCTGCATAGCCACGCAATAGTCCTAAATACAGAAATGGCTCTAAATACCAAATAGAATTTCTCACATATTCGGCGACCTCAATTAAATTTCAACCAAAATGCGTATCTTACAGTTAATTGTTCAGATACAATGTTACATGGCTATATTGATGTGTATACTATGATAAATAGAAGCAAAGCTATGTAAAGATACTGCAATTAGTTGAATATACAGATTAATAAATACACAGATTCAAATATACATAGATATGCATAGATTCATAGATACATAGATACAAATATACGTTGATACATAGATACATAGATACAAAGATACATAGATACAAAAATACATAGATACATAGATATAAATATACATAGATACATAGATATAAAGATGCATAGATTCATAGATTCATAGATACATAGAAAGAGAAATAGATACATAGATGGATAGATACATAAGTACATAAATACATAGATACATACATAAAGATACAAAGATACTTATACACCTGCATACATATATGCATAGATACATACATATACATATACAGAAATATATAGTTGTAGAGAGATACATAGCTTCATAGGTTTATATATATACGTCGAATATAATCAAATGGTGAATGAACTTTCGAATCAGCAAATCATGCAATTGAATATTTCTTAAAGTGCTAAACTAATGAAATAATAAAGTATTTTAATTTTCATCTTTACATAATTATTCACATCCGTTCATTAAACAGTTTGAACCACTTCGAACCACTAAATAGTGAAAATAATAAAAAAAAATCATTGAAAATTTGTTTTTAATTGTATTGCATTGCAGTAAATGCCAAAGAAATAATCATATAAATCATTTTAATTAATTGTTTGTCATTAAATGAATTTACATAAATATTTTTATGCTATCCGTGGTACTCGGTGGTGCTATATTCCAATACCTTTTTTTTGTTAAATTTCTTCTCCCTTTTTTGCATGATTTTAATTGTAATTTTAATGAAGCAAAGCGTAAATTAGCATAAATATTTTTAATTTTCTATAGGCATAATAATTCAATTTGTGTTCAATTTATTAATTTTTTTTGTGCTTTATAAATGACTGAAGTAAAATTGTAATTGTTAATATGGCTAGACTAGACTGATATCACAGATGGGAGATAGTTAAATACGCTATATCAGATAATTTTATTGTTAATGTGAATGAGTCAAATCAATATAAATTTAGCTAGTTTATCTTACTAAAATAGTATTAATATAGGCTCAAGCTTTTATCTGATTACAAGCAGCCATAATAATTATTAATATAGCTTAAATTTATAGTTTTGTTATTTATCGCATTTCATATTCGATTTATTTGATATGCTCATTGGCAAACCAAGCGTTCCGTGCTCTTAATAGTTACACGTTTAAATATTCGACATCAACTTGGTAGCGTGTAATTAAAAAATTTTCAACAGTGCCATTAGCGGAGTGCTCGTTCCAAATGTGCCAACAACAATTAAAAGCGGAAACAACAACAATAACAACAATGACAACCGATACGATTTGCAAGCTAATAAACATTTTAATTCAATTTACCAAATTGCATAAACCAGAAAACCAAACTTCAACTTAATTTCATTAATGGCTTTTTATATGGCGCCACGCCCATTGTCAAACTGTTGTCGCTGTCAGCGGCAAGGTTCGAGTTTTATATTCCATAATGATTTTTATTTATTTTTTTATTTCTATTTTTGTTTTGCCCGTTTGTCAGCCGCGTATTTGCAATGCGCTAATGTAATCCACCATAATCAAAAAGTAATTAAATTATTAATAAACCATTAAATGTAAAATAGTTTTTGTGCAACTCGCACCGTGTAGCCTGCACTCCGTGTTCCTGCCCCCACTCATGCCACATGCCGCGTGTGCCTGCCCCACTCTTGTGCTACACGTTCACCGCAGCCAATGCAATTTGCATTTGTGCATTTTTGCATAAGCAAATAATTTAATTTTTAAGCCGTGAGCGCTTTCGCACCTCCAACTATAGCCCTGCCATGTAATATATAAATATTTATGCATGCATACGCCTGAATATATGCTTGGGATGTGCGTGTGTGCAGACTTTATCCGAGCATCGATTTCAAAACAAAATCGCCAAATGCTTTACGGCTTTTTGGTGAGTGTTTTGTGATAAGTTTTGACAGTATGCAAATCATATTGTTGACATGTGAGCGGCAGCGAAAAGTTCTGTACGTCGAGAAGGCACGACTATGAGTTACCCTAACGGATAGGCTATTGTAAAGCTATCTAAAATCTTGCTTAAATAATTTTATTTCTATTGGAATATTTAATGAAATTTATCTATGCAGACTAAATTTACAGGGTTCTGCTTTTGATTTGATAATACCTTGGTATACACATTTTGCCTTGCGTGGTGCAGCAGTGCTATCAATATTCTGCTTAAAGAGTTTCCCCAAACCCTATGGTAATTGCAGAAGTTGTTGTTGAAGACTACTCAAATTGTATGCAATTAAAGCTTAACAACTTAAAGAGCCAACAGCCAATGGCCGATATCTTCTGTGCGCAGTTCTCACAGTCATTTTATTTATGCGCAAATTGTAATGCGACGCATTATGAGTGGAATTAATGCAGTCGTTTTCAGTGCGGCGCGAGCTCATTTGCGAAATGTTCAATTAAAACGAGAATATGCCGGATTGGTTGTCTATAAATGCCTGACTGATAGCCCAAGTGTATATCAAATTGACAGCAACTGACGGCGTGCGTCCTGCATCTACATGTCTCCGTTGAGCTGGGCCGTGCGGCGGTCTCCTGGCATTAATAAAAATAATATTACGCATACGCACAGTGCGTTACTGCATGCATTTATTTATTTATTGTTCAGTACTCACTCTCACTCTCACACTCTTGCCATCTCTTTCTCGTTTTGTCTCTTTAAATTGCAAACATTTTAAAGACAAGTTGGAATTTCGATTATTGGTAGAATTCTTATGTTGCCTGCCGCATAGCCTGGACGTAATGGAACTATTGTTCTGTATTCTGCGTCCATATGAATATAAATAAATATAAATTAGCAACAGAATTGTGGCATCGTCTCATTATGTTCAATTTTCAATTAATTAGTTAATGTAATGCAAACTTCAGAGCCCGCCCTTGGCTCTGCCATGGTTTCACCTGTGCTGGCACCACATTGTCGCAGCTCTGCGGGTTTGCTGTTGTTATTTTTAATGGCTCCCCGAACACTTAATTTTTATAAATATTTAAGCGAATACAATTTAATTTATTTGTGCAACAAAAAAGGGGAAAAAAATATTAAAAGTTTGCTTCCATTTTCTTTGTGCGTACAAATAAAAATGTATTTAGTATTTGCTGGCGCTGCAATATTGGAATATAAATTGAAATGCCTACACCCCCCCACACACACACACACTAAATGAATGCATATAAATCATGTTGTGCTTTGAAGCGCTTTCCGCTTGTTACCTATGCAATGTTTGCTTTAATTTAACATTATTTGTTTGCCTTCGGTATTTATATAATTGTGCGGAATATCTCCCATCTCCCGTGCATTCCTCGCGCGTATATTCATTAAATGGCTTTTTAATTTACCGCGCTGCAATAGCTCGGCATTTGTACATTTTAAAGTATCTGTTCAACATTTAAACACAATTGGCTGGCTTAATTTGTCATTAATATGCGGCCCCTTTCAGGTGGCATGTTGAGCACGGGCGAGGCGCCGCCCGCTGACCAGCTGGAATTTCTGCTGCGTCACTGCGTCAAGCTGCTCAACATTTACTATCATCTGGTGGGCAATCAGCGCCCAGTGCAGCCGAGCGGCAGCAGCAGCAGCGGGGGCAGCAGCAACGCTGGTGGTGGCAGCAACTCCGGCAAACCACCCAAGGCGGGCAAGAGCGAGCTCTTCTCGCTGAGCGGCAGTGGCAGAGAGACGTTGGCGACGCTTCAAGCGATGGGTTACTTTGCCAGCGATTACGTTTACATGAAACTTTACAACATTTTAAGAGGTGCTAATGACAGCTACAAGGTAAGTCAAAGCCTCAGGTGAAGACAGTGCCGCGAGGGGGCGCGCTCCTACGGGGGCGTGGCGCCATTAAGTTGCGGCTGCTGTTGGCGCAGTAAATGGCAAAAGTTCGTGGGGCACGTGCACCGAGATTTACCAATTCTTCCAGTTTGCTGTGCGCGACTCCAATTGCACGTTGCACGTACAACGCAATGCGCCGTTTTATATGCAACACTTTTGGGGCAAAGCAGCCGCCACGCAATGAGTTGTAAAAAATGAAATGCTGGCAACGTACTCGACTCTTGACTTCAACTTTTTGACTTGTCTTGCCACTCGCCGAAACTGGCATTAGGGCGTGGCCAATAAAATGCCAAGGCTTTTAGCAGATTGGCTCCTGGGCTAACCCACTCTTGGCTTTCCCTCTGTCTCTTTGCTTGCAGATAACTATAAATCAGGATGCTGGCGGCTTATTAATTTGCCTGCTGAAGAGCTGCCTCAACGCGCTTAGTCTCTGCCTGGAGGCATCAATGCCACCGCCGCTGCCTGCGACTGCAGCGGCCAATGCGCCGGCTCTGAAATTAATTGAAGAAATACTACAGTATTTGACCAAGCTCATAAATTATGCACCCGGCGAGTGTGTTGCCTGTCTGCGGCAACTGTTGAAATATTTATTTGGCCAAAATTATGCAAGCCAAGTGCAGCAGCAGCCTCTCGGATACCATGCCACATTTGTGCGCCCCTACTTTGTGGCCAAGCACTGTGCCAACGGTCCTTCCACAATGTTGCCACCAGCTGCTATAGGCTCGACAGCAACACCAACAACAACCGATGCCCCTGCAACAATGCAACAACTAACTGCAACACATCCAATACTGGGCTCCCTTTTCATGCGGGGCATGCAGTCGGATACTCCGCCATCGGCTGACTGCGTCCGGCTTATAAAGCTGTTCGAGCCGCTGGTCATCTACTGTTTGACGGTGAGTGGCGGATTGCTAATTAATTTTAGTAGTTGCCAATTTGTTTGATTAAAAATGCGCCGACACAAAAGCCACCTGCTACAGGTGCATGCAGCACGCATGCCTCCCCTGTGTGTGTGTGTGGCATGTGTGTGGCATGCATTCATATTTTATTTATGGCAAACATTTGCGTTGCACTTGTATTCAATGCATTTCCTCTCGCCCACAGCTCTTCATGAAGTCCAATGCCCTGATACAGGCGCCCATATTGAAGTTACTATCGCAGCTGCTCGACCTAAATGTTACCTACAGCATTTTAGACTCAAAGAGTGTTATTTTTGAGCAAATACTAAACAATTTGGACCTAATTGAAAATGGCATCGACAGGTCAGTGCGCTTCGATAAACACACAGCGTATATTATTACCTAAAACTAACATTAGAAATGCAAATTATATGATTGGTTTCGTTTAAGCGAATGTTTTAAACTATTGATAGTAGAAAATAGAAAGATGTGGCCTAATGTTGTGCATAATATATCTGCAAAAACTTTTATTCATTTATTATTTGAGTATTTATTTGAGTATTTGACTAGGACTCGGCAGCACAAGGGATAAAGTTCAAGATTTAATTCTGAATTAAAAAAGGTTCATTTCTAGATTCAAGCTGATATAAGTTTTTTCAATATATCTTTTCATTAAATCTATGATATTTTAGCTTAATATGCCCACTCAGAATTAAAGCTTACATACTTCCATGATATCAAAGAATATTTCAATAAATGCCTTAAAACTTAAGAAAGTACTTATCGTAGACTTCTTTAGATACAGCTTGTTATAACTTATACGAACTGAAAAGCTATAAGTCAATATATATCTCAATTGATCTCTCTTTACTGCCCTATCTACATGTAGAGAATATTTCTCAAAGTTTATTTGCCTTCATTTATTCCCTGTACAGAAATGCCGGCCTTATAGTGCCTGTTATGCTGAAGTTTCTCATGCAGCTGACCCATAAGAGCGACCGTCCATTGATAACCATACCGAAGATCATAAGCGTGACCAACAATCTGTTGGCAAATGGCGCAGTGCGGGATGTGGCGCTGCTGGCATTGAAAACGCTCAGTTACGAATTGTTCTTTATGCATAGCCCCCTCGATGAGGCGCTAGAGGAGGAACAACAGCAACAGCAGAGAGGCAGCTGCCAGAGTCCGTTAACGGCGGTGGCTACGCAGGACACAAAGGAGGCTCTGTTGGCGCAACGGCGCGAACTGGACACACAGAAGGAAGTTGTGCTGGGCATGCTGGAGAAGTTTGTTGATGCGCGAGCCGTGCAACAATTGCTGGCGCTTTTGCTGCTGTACGAGCGGAGTTTGCAACAGCTGGACGCGCCAAAATATCTAAGCGCACAGGATGCGAATGTCGTTTATGGCTTGGTCTGCCGCTCGCTAGCCACCGGACAGTTGCGACTGCACACATTCGTTGATCTGCGGCTGCTGGAAAGCTGCTTTCGCAACAATGGCAACTATGTTCTGGCTGACAGCAAGGAATTTCTGCAATTGTTGCAGCTCTTCATTGAACAGGTGAGCACAATGCCAGAAAGTTCACATGCAGCCACTGAATGCATTTCAAAAGAAATGAAGCGCAGCAGAAGTCCTTAAAGTCCTGCGGTCACGGCACTACTCTTGCTCATAAATATGCGCTTCTCTAATGCCTTCTTAAGTACTTGTAACTCACAAATGCAGTGTCAAAATCTCTTAATATATTGATAGGACACAACACCACGTTGCTTTGCCCCGCTGTGGCAAGCAACGTGCTAACATTTTCCATGCCATTCAGGTGCACTTTCATTGCCTAACAACATTGCATTGCCAACAACAGCCATATTGTTCCACACAATATGCTAACAGCACGAATTGAGTGATATTATCTGAAATGACAATTACAATATATGCTCCTTGGCATTAAATTTGCGTTTGCACTCGACCAATGAAGCTCAAAAGACAGTGCGACGTGTCCATGGTTTCCTTCTATTTATATTGCCTTCAGCTGCCAATTTATATCACAATTATCAATTACTCAAGTGTGCACTTTGAGATAGAACAGACAGCCAAATAAATTGAATAATTGACGTGCATTGTCAAATTAAGTAAGTTTCTAATGTATTCTGACTGCATCACAAATTACAGGCTTTCTACTGTCAGCTTTTAAGCCGATTAAAATTTGTAATCAATATAATGACAAGTTCTGTCACATATTTAAGATTGTAAACAGCATGCCAAATAGAGCTTATATCTGAATCGCGCATCAATATAAAGATCAAGTAACCTAACCGAAATCGGATTTGAATAGCTACAAGTAACTCGAATCCGTTTATTGCCTTAAGTCTGGGAAAAGAAAAGATAGAAAAGTTATATTGAGCTGACACAATATTTCATACTCTGGTCAGCATTAAAGATAGTGAGACAGATAGATACTGCAACTCATCTGAAATATATATAGATACACTTCTCACCTGCTCGTTATTCAACTTATTTCATTACATTGCTATAAAAGGCTTCACGTTTCACATATCACATGGATATGCACAACACTTGATATGCAATGAAAAGTATTGTTATTATTATTATTTGATGTATTTCAATTGATGATTTATCCGAATGCCGTCTAACAGTATCGAATGTCGCTTTGTTTATAAATTTAATTGTCAGCTGCTTTAGAAGTTTGTTTCGCTGCTCTGTACTTGTTTGACACACTGTGTTACACGTAAAGTAGGCACTGCAAATGGTTCATTTAACACTCGTGCATCAGTTGGCCTCGTGTGGCCTGTGGCTGCTACTGGAGCTGTGGGGAGGCAATTGGGCGACTGCTTGTTGGCGTGTGGGTTCATCAGCGATTTGTCATTGCCCCTCCTCCTTTCACCTGTCCAGCAATGCGCTTGCTTATTTGCATTTACATGCACACGAATGCACTTTGTTGCTCTTGCGGCATATACATATATATATATACATATATGTCTATATGTGGAGTTTTTTGCCTCTGGTGTGGTTGTTGTTGCATGTGGCGCCGTAGTTAATGTGGCACATGTCGTATACGTGACATTTTTAATACCTACGCTTCAACGCCGCACATTTTCAACTATTAATGCGCATTTAAGCTACACATGCATTAACTGTCGCCCTGCCAAGACCTGTCAGACCAGATCCCAGACCCGGCTCCTGCCCATGGCCATACCGTGAGTTGCGCCTGGAGCAAGAGCCAGCCAGAGCCTGTTGTGCTGTTCGCAACTTAATTACATAGCAAATGCACTTGTATATATATACGTGAGTGTGCAAGAGACTGTGTGTGAATGTATGTGAGGACGTGGACACTTACTTACATATGCAGCTACTTGTCCAGCCTGTCCTCGGCTCACATCCTTCGGTACATTGAGGCAAGTGCATCACACGTCTAACGTTCGGAACTAAATCGTTAGCTTTCGAGCCACGGGCCATTGATAAATATTTTGTTGCCTTCCACTGAGCTCAACTTCATTTTATTAACGCAATTAAACAACACGGCTGTAAAACTTGAACCAATTACACTTTATTTAATTTCATGATGAGCCGACAAAAATAAAATAATTAAGTAAAAATGTAACAGTGAGGAGAGACCGAGCAGGATATACCCAGCATCCATCTACATAAACTATTGGCTAATCAATGAGCCAAACCTCTCCTATAATTACATAGGTTTACAGAGTTCATCACTTGCACTTATACTTGGGTCTTTCTTGGGTCTCTGCATACCTCTCTCTGCATTGCCTCTCGCACGGACCTATCTGCATTTACAGGGTATTGAATATGTAGCCAACCACGCACTTTTTGCCAGCCAGGTAGGCATGAGTAATTAAGTCGGGCAATGAGCGCATAAGTCAATGCACGACTGGCTGAGCAACAGCTTTACCCACACATAGCCACATGCTGCGGGTATGTGTTGGGTTGGCAAAACTTTATAGCATAAACATTTTAATTGAAATTGAAAATGCCCCACAACTTAAATAACTTTTTGCGTGTAAATATTAAAAATGCAACCAGGATTCGTGTCAAACCAAAAAAAAAAAATGCCTATTTGGAAATTAAAATCTAGCAAATTTAATTGCATTGCAGGCGCACTAGAGGTGTGTGTGTATGTGGGGAGTCTCCTTTCTAATTACTGGCGGAAAATATGTTGATGTTGTCGCTGGCAACTTTGTTACTGCAATTTATGCAAAGTTTCACACTTAGGAGTCCTTTTCGCTACTAACGTTTATCCCTTTCTTTCTCCTGCAGGACGTTGGCAACTTTGGTGATTTAGCGCTAGCAATGATTACGCTGGCAAATGTAATTCTGAAAACCGAAGAAATTTATCTGGTGAATCACATAAAACTTTATTTGAAAAATAATCCTCAGGCCGAGCAGGCCGCAGCAGCAACAGCAACAATAGCAACAGCAACACCGACAACACCCACGCACTGGCAGGATGAAGCACCTTCGACATCTTCGGCAGCTGCCGCCGCCAGAGCCAGCGCTGCTGCCTCCACACGAGCCACTTCACGACCCACCATAAGCGAAATTAACTACTTTGCCAAAGTTTTGAGCGAGAAGCTGTTGGGCTGTCTGGATGCGCTGCTGGCTCTGGGCACTGGCTGCGATTTGGGCTCGAGCCCGTCTGGCCATGCCTATTGCCAATTGGCTGGGCGCTTCGTTAACGCGCTGCACAATGTTTGCTGTCGCTCACGGCACAAGGATGCGCTGCAATCAGTTTTTCGTTCGGTTTTGGCCGAATCTGAGTTCCTCTGTAAATACTACAATCTACTTCTGATGAGTGCTGCCGGCGGCGATGCCTTGGAGCCCGTGCTGCTCGCCTGCCAGCAGCTGATGTTGTCCATGCGGCTGCTGGAGCCGATGGTGCTGTTGGGGCAGGCAGCCGAGTTGCCGCTAAAGTGGAGCCTGCAGCGTGCCATGTTGAACGAACTTTGCCGTGGCACTGTGGTAAGTAGTGGAGGAGAAAGGGTTTGTTGGGATGGCACAGCTGGTCGCACATTAGTTTAATTTGAATTTGGCAGCTGATTTGGCCACTGGCTGTGCCACAAGAATAGCAGCAGCCGCAGCAGCAGCAGAGCGAGCCCAGCGAGGGCCAGCTGACAGTTGTCGTGCTCGTAATTTTGCGGTTCACCGCATCGGGTTCGGTTTTTCGGTTTCCGGTTGGGACAACGCGCCTCTGTCCATGGTCACTTAAATAGTCTGGCTTGGCTTTAAGCTGCGCTCAGTGCAGCGCACTATTTTAATAGATTGCCACTCGAACATGCGCCACTTGTCGTCACTAATAGCTCAGCTGTGCCACGCCCACGCTCAAAGGGCTGGGCGGGCTACAAGCGAATCACAACCATCTAATTGCAGGCAATGGATTGGAGCCCGCAACAAGTGCGTCGCCTGTGCGCCGGCAAATATCTGAATTTCCTAATTGCTGACCACTTGGAATTCCTTTGCGAGCTCTGCCAAGTGCGTCCCGAGTGCGGCTCATTACTGCTGACGGCGCTGATCCGTCAAGCGCACAACTTGAACAAAGTGAGTTGAAATCCTTATATTTTGCATTACAATGAATTCATTACCCACTCCAATATGCCTTTGTTCGCTGCATTCTTTGGTTTCTATACCCTACCTCTTTCAGCACTCGATACGCAGCATCTTGCGCCTGTTGAGCCACATTTGCGTACCGCAACAGCAGCGGCAGGTAGATGTGGATGTGGCGGCAACCACATTGCAGTCCCTACAACTGCTTAGTCGACTACATCAGCTACACGACGGCCAGCGAGCACTGCAGCTGCCCATGGAGCGGCTGGCTCGACGACTGACGGCCCAAAGCAGCCCGGCCACCAGAAGCAGCATCTACGAGCAGCTGCTGCAAGGCGAGCTGGCTGGGGCAGATGACCAGGATGAGCTGCGTACCTTGCTGTGAGTAAAGGACTTTGACTCTTGAGAGCCATTTAAATTAATTTGTGCTCACACAAAAAAAAAATAGACGAAACAAAACTAACTGCGCTTTTGCTGCTTTTGCAATTTGAGCAATATCTGATTCACTCGAGCCAAGTTACTTAACAGAACTTTCCAATTTTCCAATTTACAAAGAAATCTGCTGGAAATGACAATTGCAGAGTAAATCGAATTTGGGGAAAAATCACAACTAGAGCAAATTTAAAATGCAAGGCAAATCCCTTTTAGGGTTATGCCCACCCCCACACACACACTGAATATTTACAGAAAAGTAATTGAAGGGAAAACTTAGCTTGAGAAATGTCTGCAAGTGTATTTGGTGTTCGATGCTTTCTAGCCTGTCTAAAATTGCATGTTTTACATATTTTTATTTGATGGCAGGCTGAAGGACTTGGAGTGCCCACAGGACAATAGCCCAGCTGCTGCAGCGCCGCGCATAATTGATGAGAGCTGGCTCTTTGGTCAGGTAAGTGCTTTCTCTACTTGGCTTTGCGTTTGGCTAATTTATGAGGCCCGCCTCTGCTTTACTGCTCTGCCTCGTACTAGTTGGTCCATTTTGAAACGTTGCCATTTGCTTTGTGCCTCCGCAGCTAATCAAATTTGCCACACAGCATGCAGATGCGCCGCAACAGCAACAGCAGCTGATGCGGTTGCTGCTCGAGATTCAATCGGAGGCCAAGCTGCAGCGTCTGCTGCGCAGCCTGGGTCCAGCACAGGAAGCGCGCCTACTGCGCCATGCTCTCGATGGCGCTCTCTCCTCGATGTTGGCCACCTTCAGGCAGAAATGCATCCAGCATGCGCCCCACATCAACTACATGCAATTGCCGCCTTTGGCGCGTGTGGCCTGTGCATCGCTGATGACACGCTTGGCCCAGTCGCAGTCGCAGTCGCAGTCGCAGACGCAGCTGGCTGTGGGTGGTGCGGAGCAATTGGATGTGGCCCGGGCGCTGACCACGTTGCTGGTGTCCATTCAACGCCTAGAGCAAACGGCGCTCATTTACATCGATGCCAAGCACATTGAAAAGTTTGTGGCCGAGCACTTGCTGCGCTCTGAGCAGCTGCCATTGCTGCTCGCCTTTGGGCGTGGCTTGGCCAGGGAAGCCCTGCAACTAGTTCAAGCTGTCAGCGATCCAGATGATGGCCTGGGCGTAATGCTGACCTGCCTGGATGCCCTGCTGCAGCAGCCACGCATCTGGTGGGCGCTCAATTCCAGTTCAAATGAGTTTCGTGTGGAGCTGCTGCAAGTGCCGGTGCGCGCTGCATGCCACATGCTGCAGGATACAATTTTCTATCAACGACATCGTCTGCACAGCACGCAGCCGGCACCGCAAGCCATTTTCCTAGCCAAATTGATTGAAACGCAAATTGATATGGAATCCATGCTGCAGGCCGAAAACGAAAATGTTCGCTTGCCGTTTGCCGGCCATGAGTTGGCGCCGCTTCAAGTGCCGCTGGTAAGTGACAAACTGGTTCGACTTGCTGGCTTCAGCTACTAACATCACACACTTTGTAGCCGCTTATCGCCTCCATTGGCACCTCGCTGCTGCGCACACATCAGTTTTACGCCTACGCAGTGACACCTTACGAGCTGGTCCAGCAGCAGCAGCAGCAGCAAGAACAGCAACAGCATTCGGCAACTGCTGCCAGCGGGAGTGGCAAGTTGCCCACAATACCTGTGGATAGCCTGAGTGATGTGGATGTGCTACGTCAGTTTGTAAAACGGTGAGTAGAGCTGGCAACTTCAACTGCTAATTAACTGCTTAGATTGCTGCCTCTTGCTGGCTGGGGCTTACCTGGGGCCACTTAGGTTATGATTTTCTTGAAGACTTCAAACTGCTCTGCATGACTGGCCAGCACTAGCAACAGCAACAGCAGCATTACAATTATTGTGTGTACAACAACAAAACGACGACAATTGTTGCTGACAATGCTCTGACAGGCGCTTGGCAGCAACATGCAGCGTTGACGACAATGTGAAATGTGGATAAGGACAACAGTGGCTAAACTGCGACTGGAAACAACAGTATCCTGTATTAGATGCAGTTTGCATGTGTGTGTGTTGCGGTGTTGCTGTGTTGGTGTGCTGATGTGTTGATGTGTGTTTGTGTTTGTAAGCTGTCATTGTCATCGGAGTACTTATGTCCGCCGTCGGCTCGTCCGTCGTTTTGTCCTTGACTGAGCGTTGCTTGTTTGCCTCGTCCTTGTCCAATGACAGCTTCCTCATCGGTGCTGCTGCTGCTGCTGTTACTGTTGCTTCTTCTGTTCTTGTCATTGTTAGCAGTCGTCATCATTACGCTGTCAGCATTTGAATTGTCATCAGCCAGAGATTGAGTTTGTGCGTCTGACCAGCCTAAAAGTTGCAGGCATCCCAGCTTTGCCTTTAAAGCATCATATGCGCCAACCATTTTTCGTACCATGCCAAAAGCGCAGACATCAAAACCACATCAGCAAAGGAGCCACCCGGCACCGCACCACACCACACACAGTACAACAGCAGCCGCACAACAAGCGCCCAGCCCGCGGCAACGACAAAATCCCCCAAAGGGCTGGCAGAGCGGAACATCAACAGCTCTATTAGATGAAGCTGTGACGACGTAGATGCTGCTGTGACAGCCAGGGACAGAACATGCCAGGGCTGAGTGGGGAACGGCTGTCGCGTATAGACAAGCACTTTGGACTCGAAGGCAAGCACTGCGGGCTGGGATTTCAGTTTATATGTGGGTGGTGCGGGAGCTTAGAGCAAACTGAAAGATATAGCAACAGTAGCAACAGCAGCAGCAGCGCAACGGAGGCAGCCAGCGATATAAACAAATTATGAGCAGCAAAGTGAGATAAATGCATGTGTGCGTGTCAGAGACAAAGCGTGTGCGAGGGAGATAGAAAAATCAGCAGCGAAAGGGCGCCTCATGTGAGAATTCAGTTCGTTGATGTTGGCTCACATAGTTGCTAATTGTGCACAAACCGCTGAACGCAGCCAGCAGCAAGCAGCAGCAGCAACTTTTGTCAAACAGCGAATGGGCGTGGCAGCGTTGCATATTTGAGAAATAAGCAAGTTGCTTGGCAGAAAGTTAGACGCTTCAAGCGTAACAAAACTAATCAATGGCTAATTGAGATTTTTGGCCTGCTAAATATTTGAAAAGCTCAACTAATTGAATTAAATTTGCAAAGGCCTTTGTTGACAACCAACCAATTTATAATTGTGTGCGTGTGCACGTCCATCTGTGTGTGTGTATTGGAAATATTTTTGCAATTCATTTATTATTGAAGACGACTAATGCACTTTCTTAACCATTTGCCACAGGCTCTCCATATTTGGCTACACAACACGTCAGCAGTTCGAGGAATACTTCATGACATTCCTGCTGCTGATCAACAAGGTATACGACGAGCACATGGTCGATCAGCAGGAACAGTTCCAGATTAAGCAGGTCTGCCTGCAGGCCATCATGGAGCTGCTGTCAACCTATAAAACTTTTCCCATTGCCGGCCATGGCAACAGCCAGTTCTATCACACGACACGCTGGCAGCGCATCAATTGTGACAGCATTAGGTGAGTGTTGCAAATGTTTTTCAAAAATCTGCAAATGAGCAAAACTCAAATTAATATTCAGCAAGTGGGCGCAAAAGTTTTTAATGCGCAAATAACCAAAAAGCATAAATTAGAAGCGACCATTAAAAGTTACTACCCACAGCAGTTGTGTGTGTGCGTGTGTGTGTGCATGTGTATATGCGTGTTTTTTGTGCTCCAAGAGCCATGCCACCCATATGTACGTGTATCGTGTCCCCTGACGCATATTATTTTTTAGCAATTACCAAAACTCTGCTCAACTTTAAAAGCACAACTAATTTGTTAACATGCAATCCCTAAAACAATTTGGCCAACAACTTTTCTTCTATTTTTTTAGGAGCCAGATTTTTGCGAAAGCAAGTACTTTGCTGTATATACATATATAACATATATATATATATATATATATATATATATATATTTCTCGTATTTATTTAAAATACCTTTTCGAAAGTTTTAGTACCTAGTTAGCAGTAAGCAGAAATAGTTGATAATTATTATTTAACAACACAATATATTTGTTGTTCTTGAACTTTGTGCAATGAGAGACAAGCTATAAAATAAAATTTATGTGGTGCAGGTAATATTTTCGTGTATCATAGGGTAGAGAGTGATACGACTTTTAATTAAAAATTTGCTGTAAGCAAACAAAAACATTTTTAACTTTGTTGCTCGAATTGTAGATACCCTGTAGATAGAAATAGGTAGATGCTATAGGTATGCATGAAAGGTTTTTTCTGGATTTAAAAGTTTTTGTTGGAAGTTTTTATATACTAGAAACTGCTGTAATGCATGAGTTGCATATTTGGAATAATTTGTTGTTTGTGTTTTGTTGTAATTTAGTTTGGCTTATGACTTGCACTGCAATATAGAAGACATGAAATGTCAGTTGAAGCCTAGTCTTAGTAACAATTTATCTGATCTAAAGCTCTAGTATTATTAGTAAATATTCATTTTCAATCTTTTCCCGTCTTATATACGACATACTCTCTTATACTCTTCACTCTACCTTTATATGAAATTTGTTGCATGGATACGTGCGTTTTGTTTTTTTTGCGCTTATAAAAATTATAAAAATAATTTTAAAAGCTAACAAGTGGAGAGATATGCACACAATATCTATCTATAAAATTGAGTTGCCGCCGGAGGGGCAACAACTAAAAATCACCAAAACTGAAAATGTTGCAAGTTATTTGCAGTGGCCGCGGGTCAACAAAACAACAAATGACTCGACTAGTAAGCGGGCGAATGTTTACTTTTAATTTATTTGTGTGTGTGTGTGTGTGTCGCCCATGTGTTGTGCTGTTGTTAAGCTGTGCCGACACGCAAATATCTTGCAGCGCATCCCATGCGGCTGTCAGTTTAAAATGTTTCATTGCATTGCTCATTTCACAGCTTGAAGAAACTGCACAAGGTGCAGCTGGTAGTCGATGCTACGTGCAACGTCTTCTATCTGGCCAATCTGGAACGACAGCCAAGGGTGGACAATGTGATTGGCACACGCAACTTTGCGGCCAATCAATGCGATCTCAATTTCAGTTGGGCTCTAATGGAGGCATACGCACAGTCTCCCCCATACGGCGTTGTCCCTGGCGATGGGGCAGACGTGGCCAGCAGTGAGCTGGGCAAACAACGCTTATCGACGTGGAACAACAACAGCGTGACTGACATCAACTGGCGCAACTACCAGCATTTTGTGCAACTGTCTGGCATCGACATTCGGAGCAGCACGCAGCTGGTCTTTGACGTACTGCAGCAGATGATCGAGGTAAGTTCAATGATGCTGCTACAGTAGATGCTGGCTGCATAAATGTCACTCACATGCAGCATAATTTCATTAGACCATCTAGCTTAACATGCCAATCCATTTGATTGATTCTTTGAAGTGCGCGATGCGCTAGCATCGAAACGTATTGGCTTGTCAGTTTGGCTAATTGGAAACGTCTCAATGCAATTTAACTTTTGTCCATAGCTAAATCACGTCCTAGTGCTGCCCAATCTGGTCAAGTTCTGTGAAATTTGCGAGAGTCGTGATCAAATCAAATGGATTAAGGACCGCACACTGCGACTGCAGGAGCAAATCGCCATGGATGACACCATATCGCATGAGGTGGGTGAGAAAAGAAATCAGAGCAAAGCTATGAAAAACTCGTAGACCAGATAAACTATATATATAATTTTGTTTAGTAAGAACTTCTTGAACAGATACAAAGTCTAAACTTATCTATCAACTATCATCAGAGATCTCTCTCTCAGTCTCTCTAAGGCAAACAGCTAATCTGTCAGATAGAAAAAGATAGTTAATTTACTGCATAAGAAATTCTTTTATTTGGACAGATATCTTAACAAAATTCTAGTTGTAATTTATAATCTGTCTGTTGATTACTCTCCTCATATCAGTTGTCTTGTTATGAACCCAAAGATAATTAATACCGAGTATAGTTCGTTGTGTTTCAGTTTTGCACATCTTCTTGTTTTTGTTCTTGCAGCACATAATCTACTTGCTGTGCCGCACGCAGGCCCTGCTGATACCTAGCCATGGCGAGCTGCAGCACTTGGCGGCGCTGATTGGGAACGTCTATTTGAAGAGCTCGCATTGCTTTATACGGATTGCGGCCCTCCAGGGTCTGCTTTGTCTGCTCGAATGCTGTAGTCGAACCAACACGGCAATCGGCAAGCTTAGTGATGAACTTGCATTGCTGCGTGACTTAATTGTTGGCTACATCAATCGTCATGGAATCATTGATGAGAGGTAAAACACACACACGCAGACAAATACAAATTCTGTTTTTGGCCAAGCCTTTAGTTTCTATGTAACGATTGGCGCTGCATGTTAACCATCTGGCATTAGGCAACAGTTGCTGCACGCTATCCTTGTTGCCACTTCTTGGCTGCAACCACAGATAATAGCAACAACAACAAATTGGAAAGCAACTGTTGGCTCTATTTACGAGGTGCATTAGTTGGGCTGTAGCCAACATTCGGGCGCTCCTCTTCCATCCAATAATGGCAAAAGTTCGCATTTTGCATTACGAACAGTTTTGGCTGCAACGTTGCGGATCTACCTTGCTGCCTAGCTCACTGCCTGACTACCTTTTGTGGCGTTATCAAAAACTTTTCAAGGACTGCGTCGGTTGCAGCGTCTTTCCTTCCTTTTGCTGGCAAAAGTCGAAGTTCTAATAACTCGACGTGGCTTCCAATAAAGTTTCTATCTCTCTCTCTTGCCCTCTCCCTCGCTCTCTCTTACTATATGCGGTTGTCGATATATTTTACCAGCTCAAGCGGAATGGCTGATCGATGACACTGCCAGGACTTCTGGCGCTGCTGCTGCTGCTGCTGTAGCCAAATTGTAATTATTGGCACTGCAGCTGCTGCTGCTGCTGCTACTGCTACTGCTGATGCTGATGCTGATGCTGCCGCTGTTGCCTGGGTGCTGGCAAGTTTTGGCTTAGCCACTTGCTGTGCGGCTATTGATGAAATTTCATATGCCAGCACTTCAGTTGCTTTGCTGCAACAAAGTTTGTTTTCTGTTTACTGCTAGCAACCTTGAAAATGTTTCAGCTGCCGCTGTGTCGAAGCCAGTTGCAAACATTGAAAATTATTAAATTGAAATCGAGTCAAAATTGTGTATACGCAGCGTGCCACCAATATGCAAACAAGGCCCAAACACCATTTTGCTGCAGCCGCAACAATAATTAGCGGCTTTTAGGGCAACCAAAATCTAATCAGCGCACAGACAGCAGCTGTAAATACCATGGCCAAAAGCCAAGGCTCGCACCGGCCTAATTACATTGGGCAAGCTGCTGGCTGGCATATAGTAGAACGCATCAAAAATTTCTAATTAATTTAGAGAGAACACAAAGCAGCAACAGCAAAAAATAGCATCTGTTGACAACGGGTGAGAGTTTGTGTTAACGTCAATGTTTCTGCATTGATTGATTGGCTGGCTCTCAGGCAGGCTTAGCTTGTAATCTAATTTGATTTTTGCATTTATCCGTTTTTTCATTTTGTTCTTTTCTTCTTCTGTAATTCCTGGACAGCCCGCTGCAGTTCAGTGATGCACATACGAAGCTGGTCTGGACGCTCAATTACAGCCTGATCGAGTGGACGTCGAAATTTGTGCCGCAATGTCATTTACTGTCGAACACAATTATTGCGGCCAATAATTTTCTGAAGAAGACACACAATGAGGAGCTCTATATCTGTGTACTGCATGTGAGTAGAACTAGTCATATACATACGTCCAGGACACCATGCTCATGTTGTGACTCTCCATTGCTGGCAATCGCGTCTATTGATGGACCTAAACGCTCAGCTCATTGCCCTAACCAAATCTAGTGGCCAACTTCAACTCAGACAGCGTCCACGTCGCGCTTAATTGGTTTTTTGATTGACAATTTTCAAGAGGCATGCAACCAGCCAGCCAGACAGATAGCCAGCTAGGCAGCCAACCAGCTAGCCAACTGTAGTGGCATTTACAATAAAAAAAATGTATCCACGTTCTCATAACTGGCAGACGCGGAAAAAATGCGAAAGCAACAACAAAATGTTTATTGGCCCAAAACACAGCGTCAAAACAGCACAAGTCGCACATAAACCCCCCTACACACACACACACACACACTAGTGGGGGGAATGCGTGCGTGTGTGTGTGTGTGCGTGCATGTCCTGAACCAAAGTCCAATATAATGAAATTGTTGCTCAAACATTGTGCACACATCGCTTCTATGTGCTCTTCCAGCAGAGACAACATCAATAACAAATTTCTCAGTCAGTGCGCATAATTTGGCCATTTAATAATCGACTAGCTGGGCTTTTAATTGCCATTGGTAACATCGAGAGCATGCCAGTTGACAAACAAATTGCATACAGTGGCTCTGACAGTAATTAACAAATAGCAATTTCAACTGCAGGAACTGCCCGACTAATATATACTACGTAGTACAGTTTTGGCAAAAGTTACTTGTTGAGGTTGATGAATGCATAGAAGGATGAATTGATCTATTGATGTGTCAATGAATTGACAGTGTTGACAGAGTGTTATATTGATATGGATAGATAATTTCTTGACTAAATTGATAAATTAATGAATACGAAATTTATTGATAAGTTTGTGATATAAAAGTCTTGTCATGTGGAGGGTTTAATGGGATAGAGATATATGTATATTGGGCGATATATATATATAATAATGTATGGCTCTTGTGAGTCACTGATTTAAAAGCGGATTAAGCATTGATGAATTTCAGTTACAATTTTTATAAAAGAAAACTATGAATATTTATGCAAAAAAATAAAATGTATTTTAACTGAATGTTGTAGAATGCATTATAAAATGTATATAACAGCCTATTAAATACCCTTTTTTTTGTGCCTAAGAGTCTACAAAACGTTTCTGTTCAGTGCACACTTCCGGTCATTGGGCATTTTTTGCTGGCTTTCAAATTAAATTCAACTTTTGAAGCAATTTATGAAATTTGCACGCAATTCAATTGTTTCATTGTTGTTGGCGCTACTTGTGCTTTGATGCTGCATAACAGGACACAGACAGAAACTGAACTAAAAAGCAAGAGTGGCTGCTCAGTGGTTCGCTGTTAGGATGGACTGAGCTTGGTCGCCCAATGGCGCGCAGCGACAACAGCGGCCAATAACAATAACAATTTGCCACTCAATTAGCGTGGCCATTACTGAAAAATCCACTTAAGTATGCAATGATAAAAATTCAAAAGCGAATCGTTCGCCCCCGAAAATTTTGTTTCTCTCTGGGCCGTGCACACTTCTGTGCCTTTTGTTTACATATATACGCTGCTATCTATATGTATATCTGTATATATATATATATATATATATATATATATATATATATATATATATATATATATATATAGAAAGTCAGTTAAGTTTGAAATTTTTTGCCATTCCAACTATACGTATTCACGTTTATGTTTACATATTTATCTGCAGGGTCTCGAGCGCATCGTTGTGAGAAGCGGCTGTTCGAGTGCAGCGCCTACCGCAGTTGAGGCCAGCGGAAGTGGTGCGAGCGGGGGCGCTGCTGCGGCTGGCGGCGATGGAGCTGGAGCTGGAGCTGTGGTCACACCGCAGTTGCGACATAAAATTGAAAAACTTGCGCTCGAGTTGCTAAAAATGGAAAATGAGAAATTTTCAATTCCAGCATTGAAATTGCTTTTGTCCTGCATGTATGTGGGTGAGTACGAAAAAAACAACCACTCCACGAAGAGGAAGTAATATAAGAAAGAGAAAAAGAAAGCGCAAAAGAAGCTGTCACAGTACCTCTACAAAGGCAAACAAAGCAAGAAGCAGATGTGCGTAAGATATAAGAAAACAGTCGAAAATATTTTGTTATTTTATTTAACAGCTGCAAAACAGAACCGAGAAAAGAGGAAGCAAGACAATTGCAAGCAATTGTTGTCTTTGTCAGCGGGTCAGCAGGGAATCGGCCTCCAGCTGAGCGAATATCCTCCGACTTTTCTGGCTTAAACTGGCGAGCTTTAAGCCATATCCGAACTTAATCATATGCATTAAACATATAGCACACTTGCATTTAGTCTCAGTTTGGCTTCAGGTCAACTGGTTGACTCTTCCGTTGGCCGAAAGTTAATGCGGCGTGTGTCCGTTTGTCCATTTGTTTGTTGGCCATGGCCAGCACCGGGTCAACAGTTTGTTGTTGTTGTTGTTGCTGGCCACTTTGCCCATGACTGCGTGTGTGTGCCTGTGCAACTACATGCTTGGGTAATTGCTATCAATGCTTACTGTATGCTATATGTTGGCCTTGGCTGGCCAGTTGTCCAGTTGGCCAGTTGGCTCGTTGGCTCGTTGCCTGACAAGCCAACAATTATTTCTCTGGCTGCCGTTATTACCGCAATTTCGGGCCAATTATTAGCGTTGAGAAGTGTTTGACACTCGAACAAATGCACAGTGACTGCTGCTGCTGCTGATACCCTCTTCTGAATTTCTCACTTTGATACCCTGTTTGGAAAGAATGCTAATGGGTTGTATTTGCGCACGTGCTAATTACAAATGGAGGAATTCCCAAGGGAAATAGGATATTCTAACTTAATATTTTTAGTTCTAGAGTTGTAATTTAGTGTGTTTGCTGCAGCACCTTACTGATTTTGAGATCGATAATATATCGATATCAATACTTATCGATAGACTTCAAAGATTCGTTTGAATATATAGCCTAAGCTAGTGCTCTAAATATGTCAAGCAGATTCTGAAGGAGTTAATGCTAATATGGATGCCTACCTTGGCCATAGCACAGTTACAGGGTATCATATGGTCGGTGTAATATTGACCAAATTAATCTTTAGAGAACTGTTCGATTACTGCTTATGATTTTATTTATTAAGCAGCTATGTCCATTTGGCGTTTCATTAGCTTTAACGTCTACAGCAACAAAATATCGATTCGCTATGGAGATATACAAACATATATGTATATATATATGTATATATATATATATATATGTGTGTGTATATATAGGCGCTGTCCGGCATTGTTGCTTTTAGACTTGTTGATCCGCCCAATTGGCTAAGCTGAAAGCCATTTGGTTGCGTTTACTTAAACATTCATTTAATGGAATCAACTTGCACCCACTTGCCCTCCAGAGTCCCGACTTGGTATTTTTGCACTTTAAACTTGAAGTTTGGCTTTGCAGCCGGAGCGTACATATGTGAAGCAGCTTTTTGGCTAAAACGATGCCAGCAATGTGCATAAATATGGCACCAGGATACGATGCGATGCGCGCATGTATTTTTCTTGCACTTTGTCAGACACGATGCGATGCGTTGCGTTGTAGTGCAGTGCAGTGCAGTGCGTAGGGCCATTCGCTTTTAGGTCCTTGGCAAATGCGCACAGCATGCAAATCCTTTGAAAAATGTCAATGTTTGCGCTAGCTGCGTAACACGTCCCCTTCGAGCAGCACACAAACGAGCGTTTTGCCAGTAAATGGCAGGAGCTTCGGCAATTTTAGGCTCGCGTAGCCAGGCCAGAACAAAGTGCAGCTAAGCGGAAGTTAGTCATAGCGTGGCGCGCCTTTTCGCCCGTTCGTTAGCCTGGTTTATTAAAGTGTTTGGCGACACAAAAAAGCACAAATAAATCGAGTCCCAGGCGGCGCAAGACGACAATGCACACCCGCAAAAGAACCAAAAAAACATAACAGCCGTAGCCTAAAAAAGTGGCCTGCCCCACCCCTTCATCGAGCAGTACGCAATAATAAATATTTGCGGCTATATTGGGCGTCCTTTAAGGACCAGCACATCGAAACAGAACCTTTTTCCTAGGCAACTTTTTGTTGCTGTTCGTGTCTGTTGTTGTTTCGCTTGCTTCTTTTTTCGTGTCTTAAACGAATTTTACAGTTTGTTAGCTGTTTTCTTTTTTTTATGCTTTCCATCGCTAACGGCATTTGTGGTGCGCATAATTGTGGCCAACAGCAGCAACACTAGTCCAGATCCTGGCCAACAACAACAGTAGCCAAATTGGCAACAGCCAGCAAGAATGTTAAGCTGCTAAAAGCAAAAGGCCAAAGTTGTCGCTGGCCAAGCGCGCGCATTGTTAATAATTCGCGCACGCCAAAGCTAAATGCAGCCACACATGAAACAGCGAACGCTTAATGCGTTCACACACACGCATTTGCTATATACCGCATACCCGCCACAGCAACAGCAACAACAACAGCAGCCGAAAGGCTTTCCGACAACATTTCTAGCCTCTGCTCAATGAGCTACGCCCACTACTTCGCACAGCTTGAACACATTTCAGACATAAACAACTCATTTCCAGCAACTCGTCGGCGTCTATCAAAAGAGGGAATCAAAATACAATCCTCGATACCCTGAACTGGAAGTATGTTCCTTCGTGTTGACTTAGCCTTAAACAAATTTGATTAGCTTGACGTGGGATGCTTAATAATCTACTTATAATCAACTTTGACTTAATGTACTTAAGAATATTTTAAATTAAGTAAAAGTGCTCTGTCGAGACGGTGCGACTGAGAGATACCCTAAATCCGTTCTGATCAAGTATATACTTTATGTGGTATGCCACGACTCCTGCTTGCTACATACATTTGCGCAATGTGTTCAGGGTATAAATTGAAGGAATATTTATTATTCTATTTAAAACAGCTGGAAAATTTCAGCAGCTTCAATTGATACATGATAAATAGTCAATAATAAATATGTTTGAAAACTAAAATTAATTTTTAGAACTTATATTCGGATATCTATAAGCTTTATACTTGATCATCAATTGATTATAAGAAATATTTTTAGCTGAATTCAATTCTGGGAATCTTATAATTTTTTTTGGTTTACATATATTGACATCTACTCTTTTTACGGTGCAGCTCGTAGACAAACAAATACACGTTGGTAAACAGTATATACAGACACAGACACCTATACACAGAAAGATATAGATAGAGAGAGAGACTGAGATTGAGCGAGAGAGCGAGAGCGAGTAGACGCGTCAAGTGGTCTGGTTATAAATAGGTTTTTGCTCAGAGCCGAAATATATACAAAATTATAAATGTAAATTTATGTGTTCTGAACAGAAATTTGTTGACACATTGAGGTAGATGTAAAAGGATGGCCAATGCATACTGTGGGGTTCGGGGGGGATTTTGTTAATTGTAAAACTTTTGAGTTGTGACACGTTCTCTGTTGATATCGCTTTGAATTCTCTGGCTCTTTAAGGTTCGTCGAGTCAGCTGGAGAATACGGAGCTGTCGAATGGCATTGTGCAGGATGATCCAGAGATAATCGCGCTGCAAAGCGATAAAGTCGATATACTTTTGCATTGTATTAAATCATCGAGTCGAGACGCTGCCTGGATTTATGGACAAGTGCTGTGCCAAATTATACGTGATTTAGTGCCACCGAATGAAATATTGACGAAGGTCATAAAGGAGTTCCTGGCCATAAATCAGCCGCATGGCGATGTTATTGCCACGATTGTGTATCAGGTGAGTAGCAGCCAAATCTGCTGGCCAAGAGCTCAGCAGGTCTGCTGGTCAGCTCAGCTCAGCTGGCAAAGGTAAAGACGTCGCCATCTACTGTGCTAGCCACTCGTGCGTGTCCTCGGCGTGTGTGTGTATGTGTGTGTGTGTGTGTCTTTGAGGTGGTCCATTTTGCCTTGGGCCTCTGTGTCCTGAGACTGGAGCGAAGCAAATGCACCGCTAATATCTGGTCTGAGCACCCGGTGAAAGGGTAAAATAGTTGCCTCCAGTTGTCAGATGCCGGCTTGTGTGTGTCGGTGTGTGTGCGTGTGTGTGGAATTTGTTGGCAGCTTGAAAATTAATGGAATTCATGGCTACAGCTTGGCCCCTGACCAGCCAAAAACGTACGCAACTATGTGGGTCAGTGCGAGGCAACTGCCACTGTGGTGCCATAAAATTTTTTTCATTAGGTTCAAGGTTGCCCAGTGGGCGTGCCATGCATATGTGTGTGTGTGTGTGTGCATGGAAATTAATAAAAAAAAGCGAAGACAAGCAGCCTTGGACTTGGCTGGACTGAAGCTAGCAGGCCACATGGCTTAAAGCACAAATTGCACTGTCATTTGGGCCAGGCTAACTAGCTGTGGCAAGCAGCGAAATTTCATTAGAGCCATCCTCACCCAGCTGCCTCCGTGCTGCACTCGTTTAATCAAGCATTTCTGTTGCCTTTTGTGCTTTCACCTGGCGCCAAATTCTGAAAGAAAACTAATGTATTTCTGTTTCTTTTGCTTCTTTGTTTCATTTCGTGTCTACGTGCTTTTTCAGGTGTTTCGCTCGGCTATTGACTCGTCGTTTCTGCAAATGCTGCAGGACTGGCTGATCTGCACGCTGCCAACGTTTTTGGCCCAGCCAGAGCAGCAAGGTGTCTGGGGTCTAAGCGTCATCTTTTTATCCGCTTCCATAAATCTGCATTTGATTAAACTATTTCCGCTGGTGCTCGGCAATGGGGCATCTGCCTCTGGTCCCGCTAACGCTGCCACTCCCATCGCCGGCCCCGGACCTGGGCCCGCAGCCACATCCGCCTGCGGCAGCGTCTGGATGCCACCACGGAAATTGGGTCAACACGAAATTGCATTGTTCGTGACAGCTGCACAAGATTTCCATGCGAAATTGAGTGCCGAGCAGAAGTTGCGCTTTCGCGAGGCCTTCAGGAACTATGAGCAGAGTCAGGTCTATGCCGCCATGTTGCAGCGCCTCTGATAGCGTTCAAATCGGCATGGAGCCCCAAGGATTTCGCAGCGGATTTAGCCGAAAAATAAATAAGTAAAAGACGAAGAAGCCGCGCAGGAGGCAGCCAAACTTACGCCCAGGACAAGCGCAAGCGTGAATAACTAATTGCTCTGCTCAACGCTTACAAAGTTCAGACGGATGTCCTCCCACGCCGCCGCTGCGGCGCTCTCCCATGCAAAACTTCTATAATAGTTTGCGAATTCAAAATTAATTTATGGTTTACATTATGTGTAACTAATATTTAAATTATTTTCTCCCCTCCTCCAAACTCTAACGACCCGCAATTAATTTCTGAGCTACAGCTCTGCCTCTCTCTCTCTCTATCTCTCTATCTGTTGCCTTTTAGAAAATTGTGTTTTCTTAAAAGTTTTCCATTAGTATGCAGCTTAATCAATTGCTAGTTAATTTGATACCAAATTCCATTATGCGAAAAGTCAAACCAGCGATCAATTTGAATTCCAAGTCCAAGGCAAAAAAAAAAAAAGAAAAATGTATTGTTCCAGATCTATAATATTATAAACTTAATAAAAATCAATCTTATGAAAATGGCTTTCTTTGCGTTTTCCTGGGTATACGTAGAGTCTATTAGGGCTACTCTTAAGCTACTTTATTTAGTTTTTGTTGTATTCTTATGCCATTTAAAGTGTGATGCGAATCTGTTTGAACTTTTGCACTTTTACCTGGTTTTCGCCGTCTTTCTCTGCTTCTTCTAGTGCTAAGGCTTGTAACTCAGGATTTTTGAGCTGCAGCTAAGCGCATTAAAATTGACAAAGTGCCACTCAAAAAGTATTGCAAAACTTTTTTTCTGCAAAAAAAATGTATTTTTGTTTTGCTTCAAAGAAGCCGACTAATTGATACTCTATTAACTTAAATATATTATGTGTGACAAGAATCCAATGCAACTGCTTGCAAGTTGGTAAATATAATAAAATCTATTCATATTAAATTAATAAATAGTCATATCTTATATGCTAGCTAATATGCCTGAAGAGCACTTTGAATTAGAGAGAATGCTTAAGAAGATTCTTCGCCATTTTGTGACTTACGAAAGTTGCACAAACGCTGTCAAGCCAGCCCATTGGCTGTATTTTTGAGCAAAAATTGACAGATCAACTTTTCTTTGCTGCATGCGTACATGTGTTGCACCTGCCCCCGTCTCTGTGTGTTTGTGTGCGTGCCGGAAATTCGCCAGTTGAGCGCAAAAGGGGAAAGCGATGCTTCAGAATGAAGTGTAAAGTTGTTGCACGTCGTTATTTTTTTTTAGTTAGTCAGCGCCTTATGCAATGGAGTAGCGGCTTAACAGGGACACTGGGCGGGTGTGTGTGTTAAGACAATGTCCATTGCTGCGATGATGCGACACGGCAAGAGGCAATTTGGCTTTCGCTCTGGTCATAAACTGCAACATTTCGGCTATCAGCATTTGGTTACGGTTCATTTGGCCAAATAGCCATAACGACGGGGCCCGGGCACAGATTGTCGCTGCTTGCTGCCCGCTGCCCGCTGCTCGCCCGCAGCCAATTTATATGGCGCAGCGAGCGACGTGCCACAAGCACTGATTCAGGTGTGCTAGACACCATGACCTGCGCCTTCGTGCAGCTGTGACTCGTGTTCCAAATGCCAAGCATTGCACTCTCTTTGTCGCTGTGGCTCGTGCTCAAGTGCCCGGCGTTGCGCTCTCTTCGGCGCTGTTAACACTTGTCCAAGACGAAACTCACCACTTTTCGGAGTTGCGCTCTTTGTAAACTGGCTCTCTTAAAAGTATCGCCAGCACTCTCTCGCTCTCTGTTTTTACTGCTATGAGTAGGTCAGTAGTGCGAGCTGTTTCATGCCATTCCGTTTCTCCTGCTTTGTATGCAGACCAGCACGAAAGTATGCTACAGTTTCTAAACGCTCACACACACGCACTCACACAGATGCGCAGCACGACAAATGTTACACTTACAGTTATGATTATGATTATTGTTATGATGATAACATTGTTGCTATTGATATTGTTGTTGTTGTTGTTGTTGCTGCTACCGTTATTGTTTAGCTATTTGCTTGGGCGCCACAATGACTTAAGACCCCAGCAAATGTGTCCACTGTAGCATGAGCCAATATCATGAGCCACGTGTGCCATTGTATAAGCACACGCACACAAACACACACAAGTCATATTCGCGTATAGGCAGTTATTCCGCGAGCTGCCACAATGTTATCTAATAAACAACACCTGCTTTTCGCTTACCTGCAACAGCTTTGATCAGCTAATTTGAAATTTTAATTACATTGGCAGAGGCGATGAAGTGATGCCTGTCAGCAACTGATACGCCTTAATTACGCCACCTTCGCAAAACAGCAAGTCAACCTAAGGTACGCCTACGCCCGCGCCCACGCCCACGCCGATGCCGCCGCCCACACCCTGGCCCAGGCCTACGACAAGAGCCACGCCTTCGTCACGTGTAAAAATCAACGCGCCCCAGTCCTGGCGCTTCACAGGAGGCGAGCACGCTTATTAAAACTGAATAAATTATGCAAAACTGTGAGCAGCTCGATTTCCTTTTGCCCAATAAACCGGAGCCAATACACGAAACACAAGACGAACGCTGCATAATTAATTCAGCTCCATGTCCGGCGGCTCTGAATGCAATCAAAATGCGTGCACAACTTGGCCAAGTCGAGGCGAATACCTTAAAGCTGGCCCGAAAACTCAACTTAAACCTCAACTTTGGCCAGATGACGAGTGCCACGCCTATCAATGAGACTCTCGCCAGCTTGCGACTGCAATTCGCAGCGACGTCTTCTGGCCCGGGGCAGATTTGCAAGTATTTCGATTTCGTGTTATTCCACATCGCTTGAGAAACAATTTCCACATTTTTGAGCCACTTCGAAATAGTTTTTGCCAACTGATTGGAAAACACCAAAAACGATACAAAATATCTTGTTTATTTCTTTTATTGTTTACATTGAATTAGCAAAAAGCTGGGCAATTAACTTTTGTTTACATTCGGCCACGCTTCGGCGCACACGATTGCGCGTGGCTCACACGAAGCGTTAACTCATAGACAGTTAGCATTAGCCTATATACAACTTTATCTAAGTCTAAGTACACATACATAGATAGACATACATATATATATATTTATATATGTATTTAAGCTATGGGGAGGATGCGATTTGAATTGCGCGCTCGTATTTATAGGAGCTCTACTTGTTTGTTGTTTGTTGCTTCAGTTTATAAGTTTGGTCCTGTTTCTTTTTTTGTTGTTGGGCATTGGCTGTTAATTAACAGCACATCCTCAGCCCCTTAATTGGCCGCATTTAGCCGGTTGGCCGCCTTCCAGCATCGCACGAAGCAATCAATCTGCCACCTGCTGCCACTTCGCACGCCTCTTTTCCGCCTGCTCTTGCTCTCGCCTCTGCTCCTGCTGGCTGTCGGTCAATCACTTTTCGATATATACATATAGATATTTGAAGCTGTCGCCGATTTTTGGTTGTCGTCGCGTAAGCGCTCACAGGCCCGTCGTGGAGGTCCTTCCGCAGGACGTCTTGCGCGGCGGCGGCAAATCAGTTGTGTAATTCTGGTAACGATTCGAACAGTTAATGGCCTACAGAGAGATAGAAGGTAAGAAAGAAAGTTAATGCTAAAAATACATAAAATAACGACAGTAAATCGTTGCCACAAAATGTTTGATTAATGATGTGTTGCTCGCTGCACGGAAGCAGGCGGCGTTTCCTCAATTCCCTCCCACAACAGGCCTTGAGCCCCAAGCGCAGCGAAAGCTGTGGCTTTGCATTTGAATGATTAGATTTGATTCAATATTCAATTATTTAACTGGTTTGAGGTGTTGAAATGCCCACAGTTTAACTGTGGGCCCACTGCCTGCCGCCCACCCCACTCCAGTCGGGACGCCGGGCCCTGCTCAGTCTCGGCTATCCCGTTGGGCGTTTGCATATAAATGATTTATGAATTTGCGCTCTGATTGAATCGTCCGAAATTGTTGATTAGTGCGCCGTCATAGAAACAACAACGGCAACAGCAACAACAGCAACAACAATGCCAACCGTCAACAACAACCACAACAATCGCCTAGACTCTGGGTATTTCCATGCAATCGCTCAAGGGAAATAAGTTACGATTTTCTAGCCCCATTGACTGTAAAGCATATTCAAATGCATTATATATACATGTGTGTGTGTGCGTGTGTGCGTGTGTGTGCACCTGTACCTGAGTTGGGCTGTGATTTGATTATAGCGCATGTTTGGCAGGAATTCGAATTCATAGACAGCTTTTCCAACACTGTGCAAATTCTGGCATGGACTCGCTGGCAAATATAACTCTTTAAATTGATATAAATTATGCATGGGATAATAATAAATGATGCCCTGACAGGCGCAAGCTATCAGATTTGATATCTTTTCTCTCGAAAACTAAGCCAAAATGGGATATTTCAGATATTTTTTTACCCAAAATAAAAGAAGCAGGCAGCAGTCAGAGTGGCGAAGTAGCCAAGAGGACAACAAAAGATTCTCCGAGGGATTTAAGTCTTAACTTTCTCGTTTGTATATTAAATCATATGAATTCGTTGCTAGATTTATAATGAGTTTTAATTAATACACTTTGGGGTGCAATTCAATTCGTTTTAATAGACTTTAATTTCAACGAGTCGCTCAAGAGAACGCAAACGGCAAATAATTATATGATTATAAATAATTGTAAATATTTAATATAAATAAAAGTGATTTTTGATATTTTATTGGCCACGAAAGCAAATATTAAATAACGTTAACTTTAATTAAGAGAATAAAGTAAATACGCCGAGCCGGCGGCGCTTGTAAATAAATTATATTACATTTTTAATCTGGCCAGCGGAGATGGTTGAGGGGAGGCAGTTGACCTCATGTGAGGGCTGAATTAAATTGATTTTGCGACACATGCGTCCACACGAGTCTTTAAAAAAGAAAAACAATGCGATTCTATTGACAAATTGCATAATGGTCGAGCCGTCAGTTGAGCAATTAGCCAATTTGATGGGCTAATACGTGTGCTACATACCTGGCTGCACGAAGTGTATTGGGAAAAAGTGGGCCGCACGCGCGTAGCACAATTTGCCAAAACAATAGCCAGCAATTTAATTAATGTAATTAATCTAATTTAATGACTTGACAAACACATCAATTAGCGCCGGCCGAAGGGCGGAGGGTGGCGTCCGAAGGACGCATGGACCGCGGCCAAGCTCAATTTAAATGCAAAGTGCCGGAGCAGGACTTTGCGGAAAGTGGAAAAGCTGCTCCGCAGCAACAAAAACAAATTAAAATATTAAAATTAGGCCACAAAATGATTGAAAGGAAATGTTGCAGACGGCTTTGCCATCGACGCGACTTGGACACAGCACTCGAGACGCTCTCTCCCATCCGTCTGTCCCTAAAGTAATTAAAAGTAGGTAAAGCATAGTCCAACTCCCACCTCCCTACGGAATGTTACAATTTTGGTTTCATTTTGGTTTTTCCCTACGTTTTGTACTTATGTAAATGGCCAGAAGAATTAATGCGTCTAGCGAGTGAGTTGAATGGGAATGAGCTGAGCTGAGCTGAGTTGAGCTGAACAGATATGAGTTGTACGTTGCTGTTGAGTTGGAGTCCTGCGTGTCAGCCACTGCCACTACCCAGGCCATCGGCATAAAGTGCTTTCATAACTAAAAACTTCAGCTGCATTGTGCGTACATTTAAAAAATTCCATATTTCAATATTTTACTGTGTAAGATAATTCCAAATATTTATCTCGCACAAATGCCAAAAATAGCGCGGATTTGATTTAATTTGATTGGCACGCCGACTGCCGCTGCTGCTGCTGCTATTTGTTTCACAATTTTTGCTGTAAAATGTTGGTATTTATAACGCAATTATTGGGAGCATCCCACGCGGCGTATGCGCGTTTTTCGCACTTAACTCATTAAGGCCCCCAACGATTGCTGGCAAATGTTTGAGCATTGCGCGCGTTTTTCCAATATTATTTTATTTGATTTTTTCATCTCTCCCGCGCTTGGCCTGCGTCCATGGACAGCGTAAATAGTTTAATTGTATTATCGACGGCAACATTTGAAGGAATTAAACGCACATTTGATATCGCATCAAGTGACTGACGTTTTAACAGCTGCATGGAAAATAACACCAATTGAAGCGAAACCACTTTATCAAACTGAACAAAAAACAGTCCACAAAGTGGGTCGAGAGCAGCCACAGCTGCATGAAGCCATATGCAGTTCGTTTGACAATGAACAGCAACAGCCAAACAATTCAATTGGTTACAAGAAAGCACTCAATGGAACAATAGCCTGTGGCTCTTTGTCGTCCTGTGGCGCATACTCACCTTGTAGAAGGCCTTGCGAAAGTTGTCCGAGAGGAAGGCATAGAGCAGCGGGTTGATGCAGGAGCTGGTGTAGGCCATCGTATGGGCCACTATCTGCAGTATGACACTGAACATGCTGTTCGTCTCATACATTTTCAAAGCCTTCAGCAGTAGAATGAGCTGCAAATCAATTGAACGTTTAAAAGTATAGTAGGAATAGGAATTAAGCCAAGAGTTTCGTGCTCACCTGCACTGGCAGCCAGAGCGAGGCGAAGGCAATGACCACGACCACCACCAGGCGTGTAACCCGCTTGCGTCCACGCTGCGACTCCTTGGACATGCGCACGCCGGTGCCCTGGCGCCAGAGACGCATGATCATGCGCACGTATAACCCGCTGATGACCATCAGGGGCAGCAGGTATGAGCTGATGAAGAAGCTCACCTGAAAGGTGCTCAGGTCCAGCACATCGTTGTCGATGAAGCGGCACATGGCGTAGATGACGTTCGTCTGGTTATCATAGTGCACCTGCACAGAGCAAAAGTAGTCTATGTAGAACTTAAATATTACGCATACGTCATGTCGCCTGACACTTTCATGACCTCGATGTTCATAAATAAGTCACAGTAACAGACTAACTACAAATATGGTATGTAAAACGAAACACGTGCAGAGCGCTGGCAGAGCCGAAGCTGCATATAGCTGCCCGGGAGACTGTCTCTGACAGGTTGATAACATATTCGACTCTTCACATGACGCACTCACCAGTCGGAGCCCCGCTGACCCTCTGTCAGGCCTGTTGGGTCATAAACTAGCAATAAGTCGTAAACAATATATATCGATTCACACGGCCAACTTTTTGTTTACAGTTTTGTTTACAGCACAGTCACAGTCACAGCGCGCTGTGTTCATATAAAATACGATTAAAAACTCTAGAGAGATGCACCGAAATCATATTTATGTTATCTTTTGTTGCTGCTACAAGTAGCTGAACAGTTGGCCAAGGAGAGTGGCCTCTAGCCATGGCCCTTTACAGTTAAGTGCGGCCTAATTTGACATTTAATTAGTTCGAATTAAATGGATTTTCATGTTTCTCAACTCAACAAAATTGCGTTCGGCTTTCATATAAAATGTGAGAGGGGGAGAAAGTGAGAGAGGAAGAGAGAGAGAGGGTGGGAGCGGTCGTAAAGCAGATACTGACCCAACTCAAGTGGTTGTGAAAGAATTCATAAACAGCTGTCAATCAATGCCACAATAGATCTATATTTAATGCAGATATTACGACAGGCATATGCCCCGTTTTATGGCTATATTTTTTCTATATATATGTATCGTATAGATATAGATGTTGATATACAGCGCTCGCATCTGTTATTGTTACAACTATTTGTAAATATTGTTTCTTTTTGTTTTGTCTTGTTTTGTTTTGCTTTCTGTTGTTTTGTTTTGCTTTGTGTCGACAATAGATAACAGTATGTAATATGAATATAATTAATAGCTAACTGTTAATTAACATGTTGATCAAACATGAGTTAATTATGCCTTTTTATCGCACGTTTTGCCTTTGTTTGTATGCGCATATGCGGAGGGAGGAGAGAGAGAGAGTGTGTGTGTGTGTGTGTGTGTGTGTTCTTGTTATCGACACACACACACACACGCATAAATATTCAATTTGGCTAGCTTAATCCTATGGCACAGCAAAGCAAACAAAAACAAGCAGCAACAAAAGCCGAGGCGTGAAAAAAGAGCGTGAAATGCCATTTAATAAAATATCAAGTTACAACAAAACAAACAACAACAACATCATCAACATCAATAAGTGCACAGCAAATGGTCCATTTCATTGATAAAGACGCCAGCGGCGATAAGATACGTTTAATTACGGGCGACTATTCGATTATGAATAGGGCTACCACACACCACACTCATGCGTGCGAAAAACAAAATCTAGGCCCAACCACACACCCACACACCCACACACGCAGACACGCACTCCCTCCCATACACACAGTTTCCCTGGAGACTTATGCTGAAACGTGGCTCAAGAAATTTCCGTTGTATTTGGCTAATGAACTTTGTTCGAGTATTGAGGGAAAAGCTATTAAGAGTTCACAGCTGCCAGCTAATAAGCTGATTAGCTGCTTGCCGAGACATTATTCACACATTAAAGATTGCCAAATTGTATTCGAATAGTATTTCAATAATATTTAAGTAAATAACAAAGCCTCTACGCTTGCATCCCACGGAATTCTATAAACATTGAACTTTCTTTCAAATTTGTTTATATTCAAATATGTTTATACGTTAACAAATAAAAGGAAACTGTTTATGCTCGCCATTATGTGCACAACTTAACACTAAATCGATTTCAACAGTTGACTCGAGTCACGCGTTTCGAGCTGATTTCCGCGAAGAAAAAAGATAATTTCACTAAGTTTATCTGTTTGCGAGTATACAAATTCTATTTAAGACCTAATGAAACATATATCTAATACAAATCAAAATTCGCTAAAACCTAATCTCAAATTTTTTTTTTAAATTTCTAAACATGATTTTCTTCAAATAAAATAAATTGAAAATGACATAAAATTAAAATTTTAAAATTAATTTTTCATACAAATTAAATACTTAAACTTTCCTGAAAAACCAAACTTTACATCTTTTTTTAATTTTTAAATTTTAAATTAATAAACAAATATCAAAAAAAAATTGAGTTTTTTATAAAACTCTTCCAAGATTTTTTATGGAAAATTTTGGCATTAAAAAAAAAATAAAAATCATTGACCTAATTTGAAACAAAAGAGAATATTTACAAATCGTAAAGATATTTTTGGATTTGTGAAAATAATTTCCATAAATTCAAAATGCATAAATATTATAAATTAAAAACAAACTTCTTCAATTCTATTGTGAAGTGATTGATAAACATTTTCCTGCAATTTCCACAGGAAATCAAGAGGTAAAGCAAGAAAATGGAATACGTTTCAAATAAATAGGTATTTAATTATTTTGATTGCTTGTTCATAAAAGTTGTACTCCGCCTTGTGGCTAAACAAATTCGTTGTTGTTCTGTTTCTTCTTTGGCCGCATTTATTAAACAATTAACTTGTCATTCGCACTCAGCGCACTGAACCGTGAAGCATTAACGCCTTTATGGCAAATGGATAAATGATATCGAAGCCGGAGAGCGTTTACTGCGCACTCTGCCGATAGCATCAAGGTCATCGATTCATCATACGCACCGTATGCCCAGTCAGAGGCTCCATCTATCTATCAGTTTGTCTGGCTGTCGCTTCGTCGATGATCAATGATCCATACGTTTTCATAGCAACCGAATAAGCTGAACAAAAACTCTGATATGCATATTGTAAATGGATGATGCGCATACGAGTTGGAAATGGTATTTTCCATATGACCAGCAACAGTATGCCTCACATGTATAGCTATACGAGCGTGTGTGTGTGTGTGTGGTTGTCTATATCAGCTCTATAATTAAAATTTATGCATTTAAAATAGCAAATTAGTAACAAAAACAGAACAGAACAGGCGCCCGCATCTAGCCAATTCCCAATATAAACACGTAAATGCGAAACAAAGAATAAACTTAAATATAATTAAAAGCAACAACAATAACAAAATCAAAATGTGGGCAGCTAGAGGCCAAAGCCAGATCCAGCTAGAACAAAAGTATTTCACCCACTGACGTGGAGCAGCAGCTCGAGACATCTAACGAGGTGCCGATGATGCGAAGCAATAAATTTTAGCTGGCCTCTGTTATTCGCAGCACATTCGGGCACAGCAGGCAGCTAGCCCTGAGGCTGGGCTCCACAAGCACACCCACACACATACACACACTTACCACCACATCATGAGCAAAGGTGACCGGCATAGAAACGGTCAGCACGACTGTCCACAGCGTAAATATGGCTATCTTTGTGATGTGCTCGGTGCGCAGCATGCGCGAGCGTATGGGATGAACGACAGCCAGAAAGCGATCGATGGACATCAGTACGAGCGTATAGATGGAGGCGTAGGCAGTAACCACAATCAGATACTGGACACTGCGGCACCAGAGCTTGCCAAACGGCCAATGCTGCGTCACATAGTCGACGGCAGTGAAGGGCACACAGAAGATGACGAACAGCAGATCGGCTGCGGCCAGATTCACGATCAGCAGATTCGTTGTCGAGTGCATGTTCTTGTTCAGCAGCACCACCAAGATGACCAACAGGTTGCCAAAGAAGCCCGAGACGGCAATGATGCCAAAGAAAATGGGCACCAGCCAGCGCACTGTGTCCCGAATGTCGTCCGCTTCGGTTTGAATTGTAGTTGAGTTGCTGTCCAGGCTGCTGGCGTTGCTGCTGATGTTCAGGCTGCTTGTGGTCAGCTCCAGCTGGCCAGCCAGCGTCATTGTTATGTTGCCAAGTTCCATGCTGTGGCGTTCGCTAGTCTATTGATTTTTAATTGGCCCAGCACTCATTACATTTCCTTTGTTGGCGCACACAATGCGCGGAGCATTTTCTTTTTATTTCACGACTATTTTTTCGATTGTATTGTCACAGCTCGTCGGGGTCAAATAACAAATTTCCAATTAAACGATTTTGGTCAAGCAGCCACTAGTCTCAAAGAATCGCAGTACGCTGCTGCTGCTGCTGCTGCTTCTTCTTCTTCTCCACTTTTTCAATTATCATGCGCAATAATCCACAGGGAGCAGCTGCGGACACATTGTCTAAGCCCGAACGTAATTCACGGACTACAACACGTAGCGGTCCCAAAGACAATTTGGAGGCGCACCAATGAACACACAGAGAGAGAGTTCACGATAATTGTAACAAGGTAAGACAACAATACAAGAGTTGAAAAAAATGACGCCACGCGCAGCGCCCACTGCTCGCTGCGAGCTCCTCTTTGAGCCGTGTCACGCCCTAGCTAACTGTTATCCCTTTGTGGCAGCTGCACCCACATGCTATAAATGGCTTACAAGGACTTCGTAAATTTCTTATTGACAGACCGAACGGCGTCGCTTTTATAGCTGTTGCTGTTGCTGCTGCTGTCACACAGACACACACACCCGAATAAATCGCATAACTTCTGCTTGGCTTGCTTTTAAATTTGATTATAATTTCGTTGAACGTTGTTAACGAAATTATGTTCTTATTTTTTTTTTTTTTCTTTTTCGAGAAATCCAAAATTCAAACTGCACGCGTTGGTTACCAGCTCGCAACTGATGGCTGATGGCTGTGCCTCAAAAGATTCGCAGTCTACGTCGACGGCAGCGCCGGCAGCAGCACCAATAACAACGTCTACAACAACAGCTGTGTGTGTATGGCGCAGCGCTTGCTCAGCAGCCAATGCGTGGCCAGCGCTAGCTGTTTGCTTAGCCAGACGGCAAGAGCGTCAGCCAGAACCAAAACAGTTGGGAGCAGCAATAGCCGGCCGGTCACCAGGGTGACAGCTGGCTGTGCCGCACAGCTGGATCTAGTCGCTGTATGGTGCTTAACTTCACTGATTAACTGTTGCGTCCGGCGTCCGGCGTCCGGCGTCCGGCGGCAGAAATCAACTAGCGAATGCCAACAGACGAAATAAACACAAATTCACTCTGACAATGGCACGCGCTGCGTTACCCATTCGCCAGTGACCCCGCCTCGCAGGTCCCGTCCCGCCCCTCACCAATTCAAACAGTTTTATTGTCTGGAGGTCGCTTATCGCAACAGTTTTATCGCACACCTTTAGAGCGCTGTGGCGCACCGCAGCGAAGAGTTGGATTGGAGTGGTAAAGCAGCTGTTGCTGTCGCTCCTGCTACCCGGGCTAAACCCGGCAACGACAGCCCATTTACATGCCTATCATTGGCAGCGTCTGGGCCATTCACCTGTCACAGCCAGCTTGACGAGTTGACGTTGTCGTTGACGTTGACGTCGACGGTGCCGCCGACGCAGCGTCGCAGCTGCGGCTTAATTGTCGCACAGCATTTGCGTCGGCCACGCCTCAGTGGGCCATCATCGAGTACAACAACAATTTGACGAGATTAAACACGAATTAAGCAGCGCCTGAAGAAACACAAGAAAAATAAAACAGCCCAAGAGCAAGCTGAATAAACACAATTCCAAAAAAGAGAAATCAAATGAAATCATATATATTTAATGTGAACACGACGCATTTAATGTCGTCCTCAATCTTTAATGGCTGTTGTCTAGCTGCAAATACGAACAGCAGCAACAATTTGATACTTTTACCATAGGGCTAACAATGCTGGCCAAGACTCAACGAGTGCACCGAAATATGTATACAAATTTACAGGCGAGCCTCTATAAGAACTGGGCACCATTGGGAAGTCAGACTGAAATTTGTGTTCCCAATGTGTGCTGCATACCTTAAGGCGCATCAAATTTAATAAGATTTTAGGTATTTCCATTTGTATAGCACAGATCTCAGAGCATTCCGATTACTATGGAGAGAATTTAAGCATCGAGTAACCGTATATGTAGGCATTCTCTAGTTTGTTAACAAATGTTATTGGGATACCGGGCAGGAGTGGCTATGCAGCGCGGCTTGTTCTATTTATGAAATTACGTTGATTTAATGAGGGTCGCAAAATTCACAATTAGCATTAAACCAAATACACAAACTACTCAAATCTGTGCGCCTTTCACATAAGTACATAAATATATATATATATATATTTTATATATATATATATTTTAGGGTAATATATGTTACCAAAAGCAACAACAAGTCACGTAATATGTTTGCTAAGCCTGAAATGAAAAGCGAGCATTTCAAATAAATTAACTTGTGAATGAATGACAGCCAAACACACACTTCAACACACACACACACACAACAGGCTTTTGAGCCGCATAACATTTACTCTGGCTGGCTCACTTTTAGCCCAATTTCTGGCTGTTATAAAAAGTTAAGCAAACAATTTTGTTATGCCAAAACTTTCGATGTGATTGAAATGTTTTTAAACGAGCTACAATAAGAGCATACGTACGCATACACATACACACACACACACACACACACTTAAATATATACATGAAAATTGCTGTGCCATGTTGTCGGGTCGAGCATTTTTATTTTTTGGCACAATCATGTGCACTACCTTATTTTTTAGACTGGTATTTAAGGCTAGTGCTAATAGCACAACAACAGTGGGCACAATGCACAAAATATGATACAAAAAATAAATAAACAAAATGAAATATGAAAATGCTTTTCACATTTACCATCGCCCGTCTCTGTTATTCAATTGCATTTCAGTTGAAACTTAAATTTGAGCGAATAAGTCACGTTGCCTCCCATGGTTGGCCGGCTGCTGGGTGAATTCTATTGTCATTCTGCAGACACTTGATGCTCAAAATGATGGATTATCGTCTTTTCCGTGTCGTCGTAATATTTTCATATTACATTATTTTGAGTCCGCATCCATTATGTCGGGCTGTGGGTTGTGGCAAGATCTGCGCTGTGGAGCTGCAGAACAGAATTAATAAATGTAAATCGGCAGGAAACTGTGCAGAAAGCGAGGCGAGTCCTTAAACAGTACTAACAGCCGCATTAATCGGCATTTCTCGGAAAAAGGGTTCGGCCGTGCACAGCTTTTGCTATTTAATCATTCAAATTGACTTTCTTGCCTGATGGCCGTTAATTTTAAAATCCCTTTTAAAAAACGCTACTCTCATTTTCCGGGCTTTCCTTTCATGCCTGGCCCGTAACTTTGTTTTCCGCTTGAGGCTTATAAGTTTATACCCTCGGCTCACTCCATTTTTATCTTCCGCTTCCTCTTGTTCCTCTTTTTTCTTGGTTTTGTTCCATTTTCGCGAATTTTTTCTTTTGTCTTTCGCGCTGGCTCGCTTAGAACGCGCTGAGTTTGCATTTGGCTTTCCTTTTAGCATTTTCCACATCCTTTTTTTTTAAGTTTTTAATCAAGATGTTTTAAATGCGGTTCGCCGCTGAATGATGGATTTTTCGCTCTCCACCTCCCTTTCGCTCTGGCTTTTTTCTCTCTCTTTTTTTCTGCGAAAAGTAAACAGAAAGTTGGCGGTGTGTTTGGCAAAGATTTATGCAGATAATAAAATGAGTCTTCAAATGTTTAATCAAGTTTTGAACGGCAAGCCCCTTTAGCTGCTTCTGTCCAGTTTTCAGCTTTCAGCTTTCAGTTTTCAGTTTTCCGCTTCCAGTTTGTGCTCCATAATTAAGGCTCGTCCTTGGCTAAAATCTATTCAGCGTAAGAGCAACTTTTCAAAAGCAATATAAGCCTGGGGTAAAAACATGTCAAGGACTGCGTCCATTCAGTTCACATTAAAGCCAATGCTTAGAAACGATGGCTATAAGATCGCTGTTTCAACAATTAGCTCCACGACTTTTCTAGTGCTTCAAAATATTTTTCTGCAGCCAAGTACCATTGAGGTTGGCAACAGCAACAGCAGTAGAAACAGCAGCAGCAGCAGTGGCAGCAGCAACAGCAGCCACAGTCAGTCAGTGCAGCAAATCTTATTTACTATAGAGCGTGCCCAGGTGCCCCGTGCATCACAATGAAATGTCTCAAACAATGGTCCAACGTAGTCATAACTGGAAAGAAACTAAAATAAACCAAACTTAACTAAACTAAATGCTGCTTCCGCACGGACAAACAGCTGCAACTTGTTAGACGTCTAGCTGTCGTCGTTGGTTTTATTTGAGTACCCTACGAAATTGACAAAGTGGACATGATAAACTAGCAAGTAAGTTGTACAACTTCAGCTTCGTCTTACCCCTGACATTTATACCTAGTTGCAATAGATTTTGTCTAAGTAAATGCCATTTCCAACAACTTCAACAAACATCAAACATTCAGTCAGACTTATATAGATGATATCTCATTTAAATTATGGCTCGCTCTACGACATAAGACAACGACAACATAAAATGGCACTTACCTAATTCTTAAGACACAATATTCAATCAGAAGTGATGCATATTCCTTATTTCCTTCAATGGCTCTTCTGTTTAGTGAATAAATTTTGATGTCATTTATAGTTATCTCAGGAGATAAATGCTTAGATAGAAACTTGTTTAGGCAAACAAATTCATTTAAGCTTCACATATTTTATAACTAAATATTTTATTGTTAATAACAAACAAGAACTAGTCAACACTTAAGACCTAGATCAGGCACAGTTTTGCAGCTACAAAAACGAACATAAATATTTGAGTAGTCATTTTTAGGGCGTATGAGCGCCTGGCATTTAACAGGTTTTTTGTTTTGTATAAGTTGCCATGAAAAATATGATTTTACGCGCTGTTCGGTAGTCGTCGTCGCCGCCAAGTTAACCGCCGACGCCGCGTCGCCGGAATGGCCAGATTTGCGGGCGTAGCCGGCAGCGCCTGTTGCCGTGATACCGTAAAATAAATGTTGCTGCCCCACAATTGCAGCAATTGCTGGTGGCGCACAGTTGCCGTCATATTGACAACTCGGGCCATTGTGTTGTGTATTTTTTTCCTTCTCTTTTACGTTTGTGTGCAACAAAATTAGCTTTTACGCTTTATTACCGCAAAGATGGCCAAAGAAAACAATACTCGAGTTGAAATTTGTTCGGCCTGCAGGTTGTCCGACTGTCCGACTGTCCGACAGTCAGCCAGAGATCTCACTGCATTTTGCATTCTTTGGGCTTTATTGTGTTGCCGCCGCTTTTTTGTCATCAGCATCCGAAGGCCATCAAAGTTGCCGGAAGCTCGCCGGGCAGTCATCAACTCAATTACATTTGCGACCCGCGCGGCGACTTTGATGTTGCCCCAACCCAGCACAGCACCCACAACAACAACAACAACAGCCATGACAACTGCAAGAGCGTCGCATTGTTCGGGCAGTTGACTGATGCCGTAGACTTCTAAACAATACGCGGTCCGTTGTTGTCTTTTATCTGTCTGCAGCTCCATTGTGTGCTGTCGCGTGTGACGGATGCGACAGGAAGCGTGCGAAGTCTTGATAGCAAAACGTAGACTGTACAAAAACACTCTCCCTCTCCCTCTTCCTGACCTCCCCCTCTCTCTGTCTGTCCGTCCATTATTTAAAGCTTCCCCTGGCGATAAACTATGGCGGCTGAGGCAACGGAAATATTTCACAGAGATTAGCACAACAAGCCAACGTTTTGATTAGTTGCCAACGGCCCAGCGACTGCTGCTCAATCTGCAGGACATTAACGGGTTTAGCTTTGTGCCTCCATTTCCAATGCAAATTGAAATGATTGGGAGACCGCATGTGGTCGGCAACGGCTCAGCAGTAGCTGATCCTTGAGCGGATTATCCAGGCAAAGATGCGTCCGAGCATGCTGCAACTGTGTGTTGCGTCGCAGCCAATGCTGCCCGGTCTGTCCGGCACGGCAGGGCTCTAAGCTCAGCTGCGGTTGCTTTGCTGCAGCATCAACTGCTAGGCAGAGTCTCTGCTCTGTGCTCAGCTGCCCGCTTTCGTGATGCAAATGCCACTGCGTGACTTGCAGGCTATGGCAGCTGGTAAGCAGCAGTTGCAGCTGCGGCACTGTGCCTGCCACATGCAGACAGCGGCCTGCATTGCGCAAGGTGCCGAGAGCGCTGAGGTTCGCGTGCTGCAACCTGCCACAAAAGAGCAACAGGTAAAAGTTGATTGATATAGCTATCAAATGGTGCCTCCAGACATAATCAACTCTTTGCCAATATAATAATACAGTTAGGCAATCGAATGAATGGAATTCCCACATTAGTTGCATGGGGAATACGTACCTCAGCTCGGGACTCACATGTCGCATGAGCCAGTCGAAAGGCTGGCACTTCAGCTCAGCTTTTATCTGTGCCGGATCGTAGGTGGAAACGGGGCGGAGATTCAATGGAATTTCTCTGGCCGACGGTTTGAGAGCGTAGAACAAATATTTGTACTCGTCCAGCCAGGACTCGGCTATGATTTTTGAGTTGCTGCAGAATACAGAATATAAGCGGAACGGTCAGTATGTAAGCAATCGCATTGCGTGCTGGGAATGTTTATATTAAAAGGTGCCCAACGGAGGGGCGCTGGCTGAGGGCCTGGCTGAAATAAATTGAAAAATACCAAAGGCCACCGCGCTTTTCACACCTAAGCTAGTCGCTGGCCAAACAAAAACGAGCAACAACAGAAAAACTGAATAGAAAACCTTTCGACGGGTCACTTCAACCTACCGCAAATATGTCGCTTGTGCGCTGCCCAGTTGCTGCAGCTCCTGCTCCAGCTCCTGCTCCTGGTCGTACTGAGGCGGAAACTCAAAGGCATGGGCTGCTCGGAAAATATGTCCAATTCGACTGCAGGGCACGATCTCAATTTGTCCGCCGCAAAGCCACAACTTAATGGCCAGCTCAATGGACTCGCCGCCCCAAATCTACAGACAAAAAGGAAATGAGATGTTGCTCTGCACTTTTCAGTTTCTCTCCGATTCCCTCAGTTCTCGATTCGCTGTGCGCCACAAAGTCGTGTGTCATGGCTTGACATAAGCAATTAGCACACACTTGCCACAAGCACAAGTTAATTAGGCGCGGGCGCTTACCTCCAAGTGCGGATTGAAGCCGTGCAGCTTGCGGAACGACTCGCGTGAGATCATCAAGATGCCACCCGCAAAGACAGGGCTGGTATATGGCTGCGCCAGCGTCTCCTTGTCAGCCAGCACCCGGGGCAGCCAATGGAAGTGTAGGCTCCAATCGAAGCCGCCTTTCAGCAGCTCATTCCCTGCCATGTAGCTCAAGGTCTCGGGTTCAATGGGATCCAGCAGCGGGCTGACCGCAAGCCTTGAGTTCAGCGTCAGCCTCTCCAGCAGGGGTTCCAGCCAGCCATCGTTGACCTCACAGTGACTGTCCAGAAACAGCAAATAATGGCCACTGGCCAAACGAGCGCCCTCGTTGCGTGACCAAATCAGGCCCTTGCGGTTCAGATTTCGACTAAAGATGAGTCGGGGGCGCCCTCGCTCAGCATAGGCTGCGGTCAAGTGCCGCTCGAGACTCGCCAACAGGCCGACTGCGAAATGAGAGAGCTAAATGAATGAGAGCTAGTGTCAACGCTGGAGATCTTGGCCAAGCTCACCATCCTCGCTGCCATCGTCTATGACAATGAGCTCGTGCAGATACTCCTGCGGCGTTCGACTGATCAGCGTCAAGATCGTGCGCAGCAGCATGGAACGCGCCTCATTATGAAAACTAATCACAACGCTCAGCTTGGCGAGACTAGCGTGGGGCAGCGCATAGCGACGCCTGTTGCAACTGCAAGTTAAAAAGTTAAAAAAAAAGTTAAAAAAAATTGAAGAACAAGTTTAAGTGTGCTAATCAATGCTGACTGACTGTCAGATACCCATTAGTTCACAATATATTTTTAGTCTAATATAAGTTTTGATCTGTCCATGAGCTTCTTCTGTCTGACTTGAGTATACATTTCTTAAGTAATGTAAATAGAGCATTATAAATTAGTCAAGTCTTTATACAGACCTTTCATGTCGCGTCGTGGGCAGCAGACGGACTGCTGCTAAATTGTCGCTTAGCTGGCGATTGTATTGATAAAATGCATGTGGCTGATCGGGCGTATGCGTAACAAAGTCTTGCCATTCATGTTGATGTAGGCTTAGCTGCTGCTGCTGCAAAAGCAACTGGAAAACAGTCGCATTAAAATTGCTGTCAATGTTAGAAGAACTTGAACTGAACACTCACGCGACGGCTGATTAATTCATCGATAAGGCCAAGGCGCACAACCAAAACGAGAATCACAAACTGCATGGCCAAGAGAGTCATAATGCCGAGCAGGCAACAGCGCAGCCGGCGATGCAGGCTGCCGGACATCGCGGCGTTTGTGCCCGACTGTGTGCCACACGCTGGCAGCCAACGCGAAAACCCGTAACGCCATGCGCCTCGGCAATGAATGCGCGTCGTAATCGTGTTTCTGGGCAAATAAATATCAGCTGAAAACTGATATTTCAGGTATGTTTATTTTCTTATATTCAGCGCTGCTCGTGGCGTCATAAAAAGCTGAAAATTGAAAACTAACTTGAAACTAGCTTCGCATAGGTCTCTCTCTCTCTCTGTATCTATCTATCGGCCTCTCGCTCGCTCCCACTATCTGGCTGGCTGTCAAACTTGTTGCTGATAAACCGTTCGATAAGTTTGGCAAATATTTGTGTGCAGCTCGCAAGGTGTTAATTATACCACATGAAATCTATATATTACCTGTCATGCCTGTCAGTTAGTGGGCGAACGCACACACAGGTATGTATGCCCATATATATATATTTATATATATATTAATATATTTTGTGTTATCAGTTGTAATCAGTGCGAAGTTAACACAGTTTGCTATTTCAATTACATAATGTGAAAGCACTTGACAGAGTTTTTGGCGTGGATTAGTTTGGACAGGGATGGATTAGACAATGTCTGCTTGGATTAGACAATGTCGTTGTTGAAATAACATTATTAAAACATTATATATATTTATATTTATAAATGGACACACTTAAGCAGATTAACATCATTTGATGTTTATTTAATTAATCAAACTTATTTACACAATTTCATTTAATTTCATTTATAAATAGCTACAAAATTATATTTATTTCAAGTAAGAGAAATAGCATGCTTAAAGAAAATGTGTATATAATTAGACTGGCAAACTGACAGACATATATACACATATCTATCACATATATTATATTACATATCTTTCATAGAATAAAATGATTTTATATTGAATAATAATAATACAAAAATACTGCCAGCTTTGCTTGAACGCATCTGCAGCAGTTTGGAGCTTCAAAACAATGCAATAGCTTCATTCGCATTCTCTTGAACTAAAATTTATTGGCAAATGTTTATCTACGAAACTTAGTTAAGTTTCAATACCACAATTCTATGGAGAAAGTTGCTTAAAATAAATATTTATGGGCTGGTAAACATAAACAAATTGAAACCGAAACATAGACTGCCTAGGCTAAACAATAATCAGTCGAATAAGTCATACTTGTAAGTCTGTGAGTGGGATATCGATTACATGCCCACTTCACTGTGTAGACAGATGATATGAGTAAGCAGGACCCTTGGCATTTGTGCTTTATGCCTTTTCTGATGTGATTTAATTTGAAATTGTTTAGCAAAGCGGAAGTAACTCATTCACTTAGCAACAAAATCGGATGCCACACACACAAGCAGGTAAATTGAAGTGTTACTTCCGCATTGCATTAGGGTACAGATGCTACGTGTTGTTGTTGTTGTTGTTGTTGTTGTTGCTGTTACTACTGCTATTGCCAGTGCTGTCCAGCTGCTGATTGACTTACGTGTGCCTCGTTTTAGTTTTCGGTTTGTCGTTGTAAATTTGTTGCCAGGTTTTACGTGCAGCGGAAATGCATTTTCCTAGTCACGTTCAAATACCAGACCCAAGCCAGACCCCGACCCCGACCCCAATCCCCGACTCCGAACCAGACAACTTCGCAGACCGTTGGTAGTTGTTGTTGCTGCCACAGCTGCTGCTGCTGTCCACAGGTTAGCTAAGAAATATAACCGAATGGCGCAACAGCGACTGCCACAGATTCAGATTCATGTATTTCTCTTTGCATTCTTTATACACAGCCAGCTCTAGTCCTTTTATTATTTTCTCCTGTTTTCCCCTGCTCACTCGGCAATTTATTAGATGGCGCGTGATCCATGTTTGCGTCCATGTTCCATAGATTAAAGTGCTTTTTAATGAATGCAGCAGCAACAGCAGCAGCAGCGAACTCTAATTCTATGCAGCGTCGCGTGCGCAGCTTCATAATTAAATAGGCGCTGCTTAAGGACGGCCAGGCGTATTTCGATGGCAGCAAACTCAATATTCAATATGTTTTCAATTTGCCATTGTTGGCAATGGGCGTGGCAGTCGCATCAAAGACGAACGCAAATGCCGTCAAGCAAATAAAAATAAAACGAAATTATGTCAATAAATGAATTATAAGGCGCACGCACAACGCCGCGTATACGCAATGCCCAACTCAGCTCAGCTAGTCAGAGCAGCAAACAGACAACGAAGCGCCTAATGGGCATGTAAATGTGCGTGTCCCTCTCACTCTCCCACTCTATTTCTATCTCTATGTGTGTGTGGGTGTGCGTCGCCATGATTATTATTATATTGCCACTTACACATGCGTGGGCCGCAGTGTGTGTTATGATAATGTTAACAGCCGAGCTTCTAAAATTTTATTAGCCGTCGACTTATGGAACTTTGAAAATAATAACAACAGCAGCGAAAGTGTTTTACCCATCCTCACAGCTTTGCTGCTTTTCCACCTCTCTGTCCCTCTCTCTCTCTCTTCGTTGGGTACCTCTTCTAGCTCTTGCTTTTCGAGCATAAAGAATATTGAGGAAATTGCTTTCTTTGCACTCACGGCTCTGCATTGAGGCAGCCAGGCAGGACTTGCCACGACGGGGCACACTCATTTCGAAATTGTTGCGTATTATCATAAAATTTTATATACACACACACATACACACGGACACAGTACGTGCACACTCATACAAATGCGTTGGCGATTTGCTTTGCTTTGTATTTTCCTTCTTCGTTTTTTTTTCCGCCTGAATTTTTCGTAAATATTTTCATTGAGGTTTAGGTTTTTGGTTTCTATTTTTTTTTTCATATTTGGCCAACACAAACGTGTTTAGTTTACCGTGCATATGAGAGTATTTTGTAAAATATTTGTCTAAATACAAATTAGTTGGCAGACGCATTTATTTCGGCGCTGTGGCTGGGTTTTTTTGTTGGTTCAAACTCTCAGTAAAAATATTTGATTTGATGTGAAATGCTCTAAAATTTCATTTCGAGCTCTTGTAGTAAAAGGCAAAAACGAGAAAAAAAAAATTAAGTGAACATAGGAGATGAAAAAATCGTATAATTTGAATGATTTCCCATTTGCAGTTGGCATAAAAGAGAAACATTTTAATGATGTTTACACAGTTTTCATGTGCCATTCCACTTACCGACAGCCAGTGCCGTCTGTTTCACAGTATTATGTGCTTTATTTCGATTGACTAGAACTTTTCACTATGCCCGGCGGAGTACTTTAGTTGATGACATTATCGCTACAATACAAAAGCTTTCTTTTGCCATCCGCCCGACGCAGCCGTAGTCGTAGTCCTCGTTGTTGCTCTTGTGAGGCTGCTGCCACTTCATTTCTGAGTTTACAAAGTTTTTTGTTGATGAAACAAACACCGTGAGTGAGCGCAGACACAGTCAGGCAGGCAGGCAGACAGACAGACAGACAGACAGTCAGGCAGACAGTCAGACGGTCCATTGAATGGATGTGACATGATTCATGAAACCAGCAAATGTGAGTATCGCAATGCTTACATTTTAGCCAACTGCCAGCAATTTGACAGCGGAAATTCGTCATTAATTTAATTGCACAGTTAGATTTCATACACATACCTATATATATATATATATATATATTTTGAATTGAATCTATCAAATGTCAGCAAAGTTTTAATATATTTTTATAATTTACATTTTCTTCTTTATATTGAATGCCACATTTTTCGGATATTTGATGCTGTTGTTTAGATAATGATGTCGTCCAGGTGGGCAGCGACAGCTAGCTTGAGAGTTCTGCTTATAAGCCTTTTCTCTCTCAGCAGCCGCACATAGACATCGGTGTTCTTTGCACTGGAGCAATTGTGACCGAAAATGTTCATGCCACAGAAGGCGCCCTTCCACAAGTAGGGTAGTCCATAGGTCTTCATGCATTTATTTGTTATTTGCCTATTCTCCACACAGCTCATGGCGGAGGTCGGCAGCGTCCCATTGATATCGCTAATGACTTTGTTACATTGACTAGTTGGCACCTGAGTCACCAGCTTCTTAATCGGCAAGAGTTTGTTTTTATCCCAGCTCCATTGCTCCACTTCGTCCTTGGATCCCACAGCTTTTAAGCAAAAGGGTGGCGATTTCTCATAGGTTTCATCCAGCGCCTTTTCCAAATGCAAGAACGACAGCAGGTACGCGCCGCTCTCCATCGTGTAGTCCTTGGAATCCGTGCTACTAACCGCCTTGTGTATTGAGCCATCGCTCAGTTGCACAACGATGTCGGCCAATGGCATATTGAGCAGACAGGACTTGACTGTGAGCACTGTCTGATTGTTGATCACAAGTCCGCTGCAGAAGAGCTTCTTCTTGTGCAGAAGACTCACCAGATAAATGTTCAAGGCGTCGTTTTGATTAGTTGTGTATGGTTTTCTGTGACGATGATTGATGGCCCAATGGGCAGGATTGTAACCAAAATGAGGTCTCCAATCGTTCCACTGATAGCGCATTTTAATCGCTTTGTGGCCTCCTAAATTAAGCGCCACAATATTGCAGAAAAGCATCAGCAATAGGGCCAATCTTATGATTTTTGATAGCATTCCAAGCCGAGTTGATGGCTGTTGCCAATTTGACCAGAGTTTTCTTGTGTCTTACGACTTTCAATGTCAAAGTTAAGTTAAGCTAAGAATTATTTTATGTATACATCAATTTTGTTACACCTTATTTTATACATTTGACATGGCCCAATGAGATGCATAGAATCGATTTATTTGATCCGTTCCGGCTTTACCCCGTAACTTAGAGTCCAACCGATCCAGCGTGAGTATTGAATTACACATCTTAATGGCGTGTGATTGAATATGAAAGGACTCGTTCAAGGCATGCAAACTCTAATTTAATGTACTTTTATTACGAATAGGCAAGGGTATACAAAAGGTGATCTATGTGACCTATGTGATCCGAAAGGATCTTCAAATGTAATTTGATTACCACCAGCTCACAAAATGACATCTTCAATATTTAAGGAGTGGACGCTTGATAAAGCTTTCTGTGTGTAAGCTGTTTCATTTAGAACGAAGGCATACAGATCCAGTTTCCCATCCCTGAGGCACCTATGGCCCAATAAGTTGATGCCACATAAATTATTTTTGTAAATAAGTGGGGCGCCATAGTTTTTCTGACAAGCGGCCGATTTTCTCTCATTTTTAATACAAATTAACTGTCCGTCGGTGTACTGGTTGAAAGTATCGTTAAGCAGAGCGCGGCAATCTTTTAGAGGCACCACATTAGCCAATTCGCTGAGCACGCTATTGTGCCTATATATGGACAGCAGCACCTGTACGCCAGCGTTCAGCTTGTTGGGGCAGAGCTGGGGCCTGAACATACTGTCTATCGGGGGCTGTGCAAGGTGGAGTTCGACTACCAACGGGCTATTACTCAACCTGGTTACCGTTTCTCTTAATTTAAAGACCTTATTTTTGATAGTTTGTATCGTAAATTTAGCTGATTGCGCGCTCTGTATGCAAGCGTAAGTAGATATCACAACATCGGCGTCCACAAGCATTCCCATGCAAATGTACTTATCGTTTGCAAAGATGCGCACCATTAGCTGCTGTACGATTGTTGTCTTTCCGTCTTCAACGTTCAACTCGACATCTTCAGGTGCAGTAAGATATTCCTCGTCCGAATAGATAGGACGCGGCATCGGCTTATAGTCACTTTGTAAGGCATGGCTATGCTGTGGCTTATATTCGCTCAGCATGTACCGATGGTAATGGTATAGCTCTGCATCGTTGCAGATCGACAACAAAGCTAACAGCGACAGATGGAGCCTTGTCATCGTTGAAAGTTCACTTTTAACTGTCTGACATTCAATGTCTTCACAGATCTTCACCCTTTCACGGTCCTGACACAATTCGTCACACACATTTCGGACATGCCTCAGTCTATTTCTAGAGCTAATTCATCAATCTTATAGCGCAATAGATACTTGTTACTGGATTGCCAACTTTTATAGATGTATATATGTTAGGCAGAGTAGCTTCAAAAGCTAAGATGATTAAGAATTATTTTAAATACAGAATAGAATATAAATATTATATTTATATTTTTATTTTTATTGATTCTGTTGAACTACAGAGGATGTGACAGGGCTTTACTGCGATGCCTTTCTTCCCCCTCCTAACCGTCAGCTCCCTGCTGCTCTTCATGTTTGTGCGCTTCTTCGTCTTCCGTCTGTTCTTCGGGATTATGCGTTTCTTCACCTTCCTGCTGTCCTTCAGGTGCGTCCGGCTGTCCTTCAGTTGACTGCTCTTCGTCGGTTACCTGCTCTTCTTCATGTTTGTGAGAATCATCACTTTCCTTATGTCCTTCAGATTCCTGCTGCTCTTCAGATACTTCACTATGCTCACTTTCTGCAGTCTTGTCCTTCTGTCCTTCAGTCCTCTCTTCGCGGTCTTCGTGTTCTTCGGGTCCTTCGGATTCTTCAAAAGTTTCAGTTTGTTCAGATTCCTCTGAAACTGTGATTGTTGCAACGGTTGTTGTATATAGCTGATGTCGCCTTGTTGTCATCGAGCTATTGAAGTTAGCCGTGCCTGTGAGGGCTCTCAGCATGTCGGTAGCCTTTTGTAGGAATGTTATCACGTAGCGAGAGGCATAGTAAACATCGACTATGTGATTCCCCTCAAACTCGTCACATTGCTCGCCGTAAACATTGAAGCCAGCCAGCATATCGTCAACGATCAGCGGATCGCCAGGGCGCGTGCTGCAGCTTCCCTTCTTGTTTTTCACACAGATGTATTCAGGTGCAAAGTGAGGGAATTTTCTGCCGACCTTCGCGAAGGACTCTATACAACGCTTATCTTCGACCACCCTGGTCTTAAGCATGGTTATATCGCGAGTATAACTGTCGACAAATGATATAAGCACAGGGGTATCCACATTTGGCACATTCCTGTTCAGGTTAATATAGCGATACGTTCGCTTGTCCAGCTTCTCATGCAATGCCAAAAATGCCATCCTATGTATATCTTCATGCTGAACCTCTCCGGCGGGCAGAAAAAAGGCTTTCACAGGAAACACATGGCGCTTGGGTGTGCCGAAGTCGTTGCCAGTCAATATGGACATCTCCCTGGCCTTGAATTCCTGCGACGGCTCAAGTTCATTGGCCAGAAAACAACGAGACGACGTGATGATCATCCGGCGTGTGATAAGAGCACCGGCACAAATCACCGAACCTTTGTACAGAACGTTGACGTAGTAGCTCACGTGAATGCTAGGATCAAATGGTGCCAAAGTAGGTTTCCTCGTTGCCTTCCTGAAGTTGCGATGCTCCAATGCTTTCCGATTGTAGTCGACGTGATTTGAACTCCTGTGCGCCCTATTATAATAGGTGGGACGATGATAATTCTCATCGTAGTGCTTTATCCAAGTCCCAGCCGCAATCTGTCCGATCACCGCTACGAGAATCATAAATCTGTGTTTATGCTGCAGCATCTTTATCGGTAATGATTGCAAATGCTACAGTAAATAGCTACAAACAAGCCATGGCGAAAGCTTGTTTTAAGCAAAACAATTCTAATTTATCGCCTATTAAAAGTCAGCTAACTTTATACAATTTAACGCTCTAGACTACAAACTTGGGCTTGGTAGCTTTTTATACTCGTGCAACAAGTGTAAGGGGTACATTTTCAATATTCGCCTTCAGATGTTCCACGTAGTTTACCCTCACACGAGAGACCTCAGGAATGGGGGATTTTTCCTCAATACATCAGGAGAATGAAATTAAATTGTGAATATCTTTTGGACGTCAAAATGCCAAAGAAGCAAACCTATAAATAACAAACAGGAAATTATATAATAATGTTTCAGTTGATGCTAATTGGCATACGGTGGCCGTTAACAACTTTATCCCGTTGACTATATATGTCTATGGCAGGCAGACGACATGTTTGAAATTAAAAAGAAAAAAGGAAAAGAGGTGATCATCAATGTCTGAAAAAGGCCGGAATGTGCGGAAGCTGCCAAAGAACTATGTAACGAAGGTTATAGATAATTAATTTACGTTGATTAAAGTTGCCACAGCCACGGCACAGCTGGCAAAGGAGGCTGTCGGCAAAGTGCAGCCTGTTGCCCCGACAGCCGGAAATTGGAGTGTTTGTAATATGTGCGCTGACAACGGGCAAGGCAACTGAGCTCCTGCCCAGCCATAGGTATTCCCAAATGCCGGCGACAGCGTCTAATTGATGGGCTGCAGTCAAAGTCTTTTTTATGCAAATGCTCTAAAGTTGGCAGCCAACTGACTGTCGACTGTCGTCTGTCGACTGGCGGCCCGGCTCGGGCTCACTCATCAATTATTTAGAATATGTTACACTTGACACATAACTTCACAGACATATGCTTACTAGGCTGTAACTCGAGTCAGCTGCGCAGTCAGCTCTCCGGCCGTAATTGCCGGTCATTATGCTTAAGGGATAAGGTACTTCAAGAGCTTGCCATAGCAAAAGGTATTTGCTTCAAATGGAGCCTGACTTTACCACGCACCTACGCCTATGCCTTCAACAGGAAGTGAGCTTGAAATATATTTCAAATGCCAAGCTGCGCGATACTCTGCAGGGCAAAGATGTTCCTTTGAGATCTTTAGAGGTCAATCAAATCTGTGTAAGTCCCCCTTCTGAGAATGATCCCCAGCCGTATGAGTGCTGAGAGCAAACACAACTTAAGGAATTTCAGCTTTCTTTCTTCTTTCATTCACTTATGCTTTTCCTTCAGCATGGCATAGCCTTTTGTTAGCACAGCGGCGTACAGGGTATTGGAAAAAGGCCAAACTTGTATGTGGCATATATACATAGCGTTTGGCTTACACGTGTTTTAGGTCCTCACTTGACGCATCGCGTTGAAATTTATGCGTACGTGCTCAGCTGAAAAACGCTGCCGACGACAACCCCGGGTCATTTATTATTAGCTGTGAAGCGCGTGCCCGGATACGGACAACGGACAACGCACAGCGGGCAATGGGCTAAGAGCAAGGCACAAGCAAGGCAAGCAAGGCACAAGCTTTTACGGCCTGCCTGGGATATAACTTTTGGGTTAACCAAGCACAAGAAACGCTGCCCAAAATATACCATTTTTATTTGCATACTTTAAACGGCTGAAGACAGGAGGTGTGCAAATTCAATCCACACCCAGGATTTTCAGGACTGAATTTAAGAGAAATGTTTGTAAATGAAAATTATATTTATTGAGTTTGTGAATAAATTGGGATTTCGATTAATTATGCTACGAAATGCAGTTACATTAAGGTTTCCGCACACACACATACAGAGCACACAAGCTGGATTTGATGTGCTCCTGACGACTGCAAATTAAATGTCACTCATACGCCATGGGCGCCTGGATATAAACGTAAATACTTGCCGGGCTGCTGCTGCCGCTGCTGCTGCTGTTTTACAGCTCATTATGCAACATGACGCAATCCTTTAGAAGAGGAGAGGAAAAAAGTGCATTATATATGACGTCTTGCTCCTATTTTCATATGCAGTTGGCAAAGCTGCTTGATTTTTTGTTAAGTGTTCAGCAGAAGAACAAATTCAATTTCGCCATCAAAAGTAAAATGCTTTAAAATGTTAACAGCAGTAAAATCAAAGCTAGTTGCATGCAGCTCAGTTACAGGTTTTGCTCCAGGGTCAGTTGGCAGTGTGCTAAGTAAGTATGTGTGTGTGTGCTTTTCGGCATGCTTGTGCATTTGTCTTAAGCTGTTTAGACATGAATTCAAAGAGAAACGAGAAAAAGGGAGAGGGAGAGCGCACTAGAGAGAGAGAGAGAGAGAGAGAGAGAGCGAGAGCGTATTGCAATGAGCGTTAACTGCTACAGGCAGCAGCATCTTCTTTGATTGCACCACTCGAATGTGCCTGACCCTGCACACAGCACCACCCCGGCCTAAGAACCTGTCCCTAGCCGCTGCCACATGCTTCTGCAAGAACTACTGCCCCGGCGAGCGAGCGTTGTCTTCTACTCAAACACAGTTCGTTGCACATTTGAACATGCCCTCAGAAAATAAATGCAAATTTAGCAATGGCAAACACCCATACCAGAGAACCAACAATGCACACATACACACACACAATCGCTAACACAGACACACACACACACACAGATCTCACATACGCTGGCAATAGAAACAGCGCTGCTCCTTTTGTAGCCGCTGCACATTTCCTGAACGCGTTTGCCACGTTGTCGCCGGCATTCTCTTAGCTCTCACTCTCTCTCTCGCTCTCTATCTCTTTCTCTGTCTCTCTCTGTTTCATTCTCAATATATTATTTGTATAAATTTTCGATTTTCTGCTTCAACAGTCTGTCTGGCGCTGCAGCTCGCTCGCATCTCTTCACTTTATTTATTTCTCAAGAATTCAGTTTTTTCCCTCTTCTTTTTTTCTTATTTTTCCTTTTGTTTTTCTCCAAACTATTTTTCCCATTCTGGTTATTTTTTTTCTCACTCCCACATGCTTTGTTGATGCTGTTCCCATGGTTGTTTTTCATCCTGTTCTATATAAGCATTATAGGTAAAGGATTCGCACATTCGGTATTGACTCGAGTGCATTGTCTTTTCTTTACATTTCTTTATGCGTTTGGGACTTTGCTGCTTTTGCCTTTTTTTCTTCGGCAGCTTTAACATAGAAGGGAAGCTAGCTTTTCTTTGGCCCCTTTGAAATTTGATTGCAGCAAAAACCTAAATCAGGACAAATAATGAAGGAGTATAATGCTCAGTTACTCTATATCAATGTGAAACATAATGCTCAAAGTTAAGGCTGCTTTAATTTACTTTTTATTTTCACATTATGTTAGCTCATTAGGTTTTATTGCATTTTCATAGTTCTATGCCAAGCCACACATACTCACACACACTCACATACTTTCACACTCACACACTCACACACCCACACAGCCACATATCACTCAGGCAGCTTTGCTTGCTTGGCATCTGCTCTTAAACGTTGACTACTGCCTGGCGGCTGATGCTACTTAATGGCTAATTAGAAGTATAATTTACACCTTAATGACCCTAGAACACTGCTCTGGCTGTGCATGGCCAGGCTGCTCACAAGCTCACTCAACATGCAGCCATGACTCCTGGCTTACACTTTCTCTACTACACTCACTCACACTCACCCACACACTCACACGCCCACATAGTCGCTTTCTAGACGTAAAGCTTTATGTGAAAATCAGCGTCCATTAATAAAGACAGCAAGCGAAATGTTACACATACGCCATGTACGCGCGCTAAGCATTAATCACAGCGGCAATATGCATATAGCATATATAGCATATATAAAAGGATAAATATAAATTTGTGCGTGCGTATGTGTGTGTGTGTGGCGTAGCGTATTAATTTCATCGCAAATGCCTTTTTCAGTATGAATATATATATGTGTGTGCCCTTTTAGACAGTTTGATTTATTGCCTCGACTAAAGTGATTCTAACATTTCGCTAAATTTGTTCGGCTGCTGCTTTAAAGTTCTATTGAAATGTACTGAACGTGTTTGACAGCCAGCAATATGATTATCTATACTTATCAGCCAAATGCATAGCACAACAATTTGACTTAATAATAAAAGAGCATGCTGTAACAGAATATTGTATGACTATGGCTATGGCAACTGGAAACTGGCAACTGGCAACTGGCTGAATGAGTTGCATGCAAAGGGAATATTTTGTCACGCACACAAAATCATGCGAAGCGTCAAAAATGTTGTCACCTAACATGGTTATCCGGCATAGTTATTCGGTACCTGGCACACACCTGACCGGGGCCAGAGTTGGCTGTTGGCAGTTGGCAGTTGGCAATACAATTTGCGAGTCGCCATGCAGCTGCTTTTCAATTGTGTGACATATTTTAATTTAATAAACTGCCAGCTTGGCATTATCACAGCTAGCAAATTGCCAAATGGCAGCTGTTGAAAACTTTCAGCTCAACTTGTACAACTGACACTTTGCGTATACGTAACGGATGGCTATGTGTGCTGACATCAGCAAAAGATTTAATAGGCCCTCGGCTAGCGAAATGCCGTAAATTGTAAGTGCAAGAACTCAGAGTTTCAGATTAAAGATCAATTACCTTTTACGCGGAGACATAAATCCCCTTTAAAGCCACCAAATCTAGACTGCGCCCTCGGAAAAATAAAACTCGCTAGTTGCTAACGTATCAAATTTTTTACTCTCCTATTTTTTTTATTTATGGCCGCTAAAAATTCAAAATGTACGGCTATATAAACGGCCAAACGCACCGCGACAAGGACAATCGTCAAGGCATTAAGAAAAAAGTAAAAGGAAAAAAATAAAGAAAAGCAGAAAAAATATTACAACATTTTAATAGCGAAAATGAAGATTTATTGCCCGCAACGTAAACGCGACCAAAATGTGCCACAAAAACTGAAGCTCAACTAAAAAGCGCGTTCTAACAATGCCCAACAACAGCGCGCAAACTTGTATATACAATTATTAG